TGGTGGGCTGCATCACTCATGTACTCTGGGCCTTGAACCAGCTAGGCTGCCAGATCCATGCGGACCGGGGGGCACCTGCTCCTTATCTCGAACTAGGAGTAGGAGCTAGCCCATTTAGCAAGTGTCTGGGATACAGAGGCCAAAACCAAGCTAGCAATAGTAATCATGGTGCAGATGACTACTCCTGACTTCCGGATCTGTAAAGTTAGTGGACTCCTCCACAGGTATCTTGTTTGTCATATACAATCTAGAGCTGAGAGGAGTCATGTCGAGGTAAAGGACCACTTCTGTAGAAAGCCTCCTCAAATGGGAACTGCACCAATAAAAGAGCAGTGGCTAGTAAAAGCCACTCTGTACATTCCCAAACCACATAACTGTTTGTGAATAACCAAGGAACCTCCAGTTGAAGCAAACTGACCCTGTACACTAAGAGGGGAACAAGAACAGCAGACACCAGACGTGACAGCAGCAGCGTATGCCCAACAAGCAACACTGGGCCACAACAGCTCAGCCCAAGCACAGAGCGCAGGTGGTCGAACAGAAGCAGAAAAAAAGGGGGGCTGCCCAATGGTAAGTAGGCATGCACAAAAGTTTGCTCCAGCATCAGCTTAGCCCTGTCCACATGGTACTAACCGGTGGAACAAGGGCACTGTCTGCACCATACCTGCCCCCAGCACAGGCATACAGCATGGGCAAAAGAAACTGCAGAAAAAGAAAAAAAAAGAAAAATGCTCCAGGTTACAACAGGCACCGTAATGGTCCCCCAGTATCCACCCATGGGAATACTGAGAAAGGACCAGCTGGGATTGGATCCTATGACCCGCATGTCACATACATACTGCCAGGCAGTAGTGCAGATGATTCCGCCACCTCTCCAGTCCCTCAAAGTTTCACTCAGCACAGCCACGCCCAACTGGATAAATGCATCGAGCCACAACAGCCAGATACCCAGCACTGGTGCTGATGCTTGCTGTAAAGAGAGGCAGGAAAGGATAAGCACCATCTAAAAATGGTGGGTGCACCCGCATACCCAAGCAGCCACCCATCCTAGCTCTGCCCACCCAACGACAAGGACACCAACTGGCAGAAAAGGGTGAAAGCTCGCCAACAAAATGGCAGGCACAAATCAGCCTCCAGAGGCCACAAAGCTAGATTAATGGGAGCTGAACCATGTGGTGCAGGTACCCACGGGAAGGCTTGGTATCAGATACTGGCTGGGTGGGGCTAAAGTACTGCATCTGCAGCAGAAAGCTAACTTACCCCTGATGGTGACAGAGCACAGTCCTGCACCATATGCTCCCACAGCTCCTGGGCCTCAGAGCAACCCAGGAAATGGGGAGGAGGGCCACATATACTACAGCCATCAAGGCCAAAGCGTCGCCCTGCTGGTCAAAACCAGGGGACTGCTTGCCCATCTGGGAATACCTGCAGGGTTACCTGACACAGCAGCACTGTGTCCCCAGAGCAAAGCCCTGTGCGTCAGGCCTTACAAGGCTACAGAACTCTAGGTGAGTGGGGGGAACAAGCCAGAGGGACTGGTAGGAGAGACAAGCCTGAAGGGGAGGAGGAGAAAGCCTAGGGCTGACAACCCCAGGGGGAACCCTCACACCACACACGCTGTGGTGGGGGGACAGGACAGCACCTACTTACCGATCCAGAGAGGTTGCAGGTAACACTCCTGAGACAGATCTTCCTCTGCACTGAAGTGGGGGGCTGTCAGCCAGGTTAACAGTGGTCATATGTGTACCTACAAAACATTTAACTCACTGGCTGCCTCAGGCAAGGATGGGGCTCATTGTGGCCGACCCAGCACATAACTAAAGGTCTTGTTGGTCAGTCTGGGGTTACCACTGGATCTATATTATCTAGTCTGCTAGCCTGGGTGTTGATAGGAAATCTGCGCAGGAAAAAACCCCCCCAAAACTTTGGAACAATAGGCCCCAACAGGGAACTAGGTCCTTACTTCTGAAACACTAGGCAGAAATAACTGGGCTGCCTATAGCTGAAAGGGGGTTATACTAGCTAGGACTGTCCATAGGCAGTGCTTAATTCTTTTTCTGCCTTGTGGCCTAGTCCTGTAGGTGGCGCTATAACCATATGATCAAGATTTAGAAGAACTGTGTCCATCAAGGAATGCAAGAAGGGAAAAAAAAAAAAAGACAAAAAAGAGCATGTTAGTAGCAGCAGGGGCTATCCTGGGCTGGCCTACAGGTTTTTTTTTTTTTTTTTTTGTTTGCCAGTGGTGCTTAGTGGATGAGTGAAAATACTTTTCTCACATTTAACATATCTTGTGAACCAAGGAGGCTGCTACACATAAAGTTATGACTTGAGTATAACATTCTTTTTATTTTAAGTCTTTCATTAGGTAGCATTTTTACCCTAAATAGGCACTTGATTTTAGAAATGTCACGCATACTGCTGAATACCCCAACCAAAAGGTGCTCCTGTTCTACACCTCCATTTTATTAAGACAGCAAGGTCATTTTTCATGTGTAGAGCCACCTGCATGTGAAATCTGGTATTTTATCTTATGAGGACACTGAAAGCAGCAAGGGCCATTTGCACCATAAAACAGCACTACAACACTTTTGTGCTTTGATGTGTTCTGTTAGGCAGTCAATTCACTTTGAACAGACGGTGAGTGTACATCAATGCCTGCAGTGCACTGACCTCATGCAACACACAGCATATGCAATTGTGGCTTACAGGACACTATGGATGGGCACTAGGGCGCAATTAACTTCTACAGAGCATTACCATGTGTTGTAACATTTTATAAGTCACCTCATGACACACATTAATGCCAAGTATGGTTTGAATGTGCCCTAAAGTACAGCCTTAAATAAGGCCCTGTCACCAGACCATTTATTTCAACAAATGTCTTCCCAAAAGGTTTTATGTGTATTTAAAGTGGTTGTAACCTTTAAAAAAAAAAAAAAAAAAAATCTCCTGTCCCTTTACGTCATAATATAGAACATAGTGCTTTCGCAGTGTCATATGTCCCTTTCCATGTTCTACAATACCTGCTGATCCTGCCTGTTCCTGTGTTCCCGTTTTAACTGACCACACTAATCATGGCTGGTGATCCATGATAGTGTGGTCAGCTTCCATGCCTCAGTCATCCTTGCTCTCTCCTCAGCATCTCTGCATCTCCCACTCCCTCCCTATCATTACCATAGTATGCATGTAAGACAATCTCCTCCCACCCCTCCTGCCTTGACTGTGTGGTACATTTCCCTGCAGCTGCTCCTCCCCTCCTCTTTGAATCTATTAAATACTTTTATCCCTCTGTTTTAGGTCCATGTTAAGTGCGTGTTTTTTTTTTTTTCATTAAATAAAGCTACATATCTTCTTTTGCACAGCACTTCTGTGCAGTCATGTGTCCGCCTTCTGTTAGCTTGCATACATCAGAAGGGAATCTAAGCCCTTCCCACTGTACTCCCTTAGATTAAAAAAGAGAGCAGAGGGAGGACACATGACACAGCAGGGCTGTGCAAAGAGCATTATTATTCTTATTATTTTTTTAATTATATTGCTAATAATAATTAAATAATCACACATACTACATTTAATATAGACCTAAAACAGCGAGGATAAAAGTATTTAAGAGTTGTGACTTTGCAACCACTTTAACATATTCTATGCATGTCATTTCATCATAAAAAAACCTGTGTGGTCATATAAAAACCCTGAGAAAGTTGGTTGTCGCCATCTTGGATGTGGTATCAGTAGCCCTCAAACTCAAAGGGAGTGGCAGAGGAGCTGGGCTAGCACTAAGAGGAATTAGACACTCCTAGAAGAGAAGACAGTGTGCAAGTAGGGGGACACTGTGCTAGAAATTTGATTCTTCCTGAAGTAATTACATTTTCTAGCAAGTTCAATGGCACATTGAAAGTGAGCAAAAAATGATTTATGGAAAGAAAAAAAATGTTTTAAATACTTTTTTGTGCTGTTACCTGCACCTTTTTGTAAGTTAGTGATGGGGTCTTTAATAATGAGGCAGTGAAGTAAAACCGGTTTAGTTTGCTTGCAATCCTACAACTAGTACATGGATGTGAGTCAGAATATGACTGTCTTCATTACACAGTCCCTTTAATGAATTAGTCCACCCAAAATGGATTTTAGTCACAGGGTCCATTTAACTGACATAGCAAAGTCTTTTATCCCTTTTAAGAAATTTCATCAAACAGATGCTTGCTGGACATGAAACATCAAGAGCTGAAGCTGCAACAAAAACACAGTTTAAATGTTGATTGTAAACATGGATTTATGGACACTGACCAATGTTAAGCGCACATAGTACAAATGTTCCTTTATATAACTTCTATAGGCAACTGACCTGTGATCACTTACCTACAGTAATACATATTTTATCTGTCCCTTTATCTTATCTTCTTGGGGGCTTTCTGGAAAAAAGTATTCAAGTCAAAGCTTATAGCTTGAAGCTGACCTTGGTTGCCTGACACCAAGGCATGCTTATTTTTCACAGGTTTATAAAACCTCAAAAATTGAATACCATGTTTCATTAAAAAAAAAAGTGCCCTATAAAACAATTCTTTTCGAGCTTGATGATCATCTACAGCTTTGACACCATGTATGGAGGATTGGCACTATGCGGTTTTTCATATCAGTCTACACCACCACCAAATACAATAAAGGGATGTAATGAGCTCTTGGAATGGAGATATAAAAGCTTAGCATCAAACTGCTGTAGGTAACATGGTTGAGATGGGATCCAAAAAGAGAAAAATTATTTAAAACTCCTTAATGCTGTTTATTTAATAAACTGCGCTTTCCAAAGCGAATTCTAGTAGAAAAACAATGGGATCAGTTTGTTGCGTCCCAAAGGTTTAGTTTCAAGTGTTGAGAGGATTGTTCTTCATATCCACGTTTCCCATTTTCGGTGATCCTTTTTAAGAACCAGGAGGTGCCTTTGGGAATAGAGACTGCAGGCTGACCATTAGTTGGTTTGACATTGTAGACAGTTTTAGTCTTTAAATTCAAGAAGGCACTTTGAGTTTACAGCTCCCGAGGAAGTACTGGAGGATTCGGTCTACCACCCAGGCCAAGCAGAAATCCAATAACAGAACTTTGGCAATCACCAGCTTGAACTGGAAAGGAAAAAAAAGAAGACGACAAACCCTGTAAACAATTGAAAAAAGCTGGAAGTAATGGGAGTACTATATATGGTAACAAAGTGTAAACTGAATAAAAGGGCACTGGTGAAGACACACTAGACTGTTGAAGGACAGGTAAGTACAGTGGACTTCAGTTCCACTTTAAAGCTCAAAACTAGTTTAATTTTTAAAGTTTTAGATACAGCTAGGAGGAGTTACCATTTTTATTCAAGTGTTCCTATTGGGGAGATTTACTCTTATTTCTAATACATCACCACTATACAAAAAGGTAGGTTTGACAAAAGTCAGGAAGTGAGATGACATCTCTATATGGACATACAGATGGCAATGAAACCTTGGCAGATGAGCAAACATTTTCCTGCGCTATCCAAAAACGTTTTGGCTACAGTTGGCCCCTAATATTCTGCCTCAGAATGAAGGGTCAGACAACCATTGAAACCTTAACCAAAAAATGCCAGCTTAGCATTTTTGCGATGTGGACCAGGGTCTCCATGGATAGAGGGTCATGAGTGTGTGACACCACCCTGTGTGGTGGGCATCAAACAACTGTTTCTAAAAGAAGGTGTCCCAAATAGTATGTGTACAGCTCTCAAAACACCAGCCTTGGGATTAATGGAACTAGGCTCTTCCACACTCTAGTGTCCTGAAACGGAGGTATAGGGAATCTGGGAGGTGTCTGACATACAGATATTCTAGAGTAGAGGGTTAACAGAATAACTGAATAAAGACTGACACATAGTTTTATAAAACATGTGGCATGGAGAACTTAAAGTTTTGCTGCAAAATTCATGATTTGATAATTACCTCCACCGGTATGTCCACAAGGCCGAACTGCTCATTAAACTCTGGAGATGTACCAGACAGAAGGCCCAAAATGGCCATTCCTGATAACACGATACTCCACAGCAGGGGTTTGTTTTCTCGTAAACTCTCCATAAATGGATGGCCCTAAGGAAAAAAACAAAACAAAAAAATAAAAAACACAGAATACACAATGGTATATGACATAAAGCATTAAAGACCATGTGTGCATGTCAGATAGAATTTGTTACAAAGGAGCTAAAAGTCTGAAAGAAAGCAAAGGTAAAGTACAAAATATGCAGGTTACTAGTTTTAATGTACAGTAAACTTGAAACATTTGATTATTAGGTTGTTCGACAGCAAAATACTACACCGACTGAAGCCCTAAATAGTTTAATCTTTGCTCACACATCACATTCAGATCAGGCTGTCAAATTAGGGGATATAGCTTATTTGCATTCCCAAAGCATCTTGCTGAAAGGGTTCTAGTTTCAGTTGAAACAATGGCAAAGCTCCTGTGTGCAGAGTACTCCATGCACAATCGTGCATTCCTCTTATCAGTGACAACAGGACAGGGGGTTCTGCTATTTAGTTGGTATGGTCTAAGGTTTTCAATTTTCATGCGAGAGCTCTTACAGTGCTACTCATTACCTTTGAAGGAAGAAGGGGGCTGCCTGTTTTTAACAGAGGAGCTCTATATGGAAAAAAGAGGGATGGGTCTTCCAAGTTAAAATTAAGCATGAGGAAAAAGCATTGCCTTAAACAGAAATCACCTTGGAGATTTAAAGCCGTAGTAAACTCTGGTGTGTATATATATATATATATATGCATTGAATACTAGCACATTATGAAATACTTCCCTTAAAACAAAGCTCTCCAGCAGTGCACTGTCACCGCTGATAGGGCTTCCACTTTCACCCGGTATTCCTTTTGGGTATGTGGGCTCCAGTCCTTTGAATGGCAAAGCTGTGATACTCCCACGCACACGACTCGAGGTTACAGGACGGAGCTCTGAAGGGACAGCATGAGTATGCCATCCCTTCACAGAGCATGTGCCGGTGACATCACTGGCTGCAGCAACAGTGAACATCTAAACGGTGCACATTTAGGAGATTTTACTGTACCTACAGGTGAGTCTTTTTATAGGCTTACCTGTAGGTACAATTGAAAAAAATTTAGTTTACTACCATTTTAAGCTCTAAAAAACAATCAATGTCTTCTGTAGCGCAAAATTCACCAGACGTACCTTATAATTAATAGCAAATGTGGCCATCTGCATAGCCATGGACATGATATACACCGTGCTGTTCACCAAACTTGGCTCAAACTCCTTATACAAATCCACAAATTCTTCCTTCCTGGATAATAAAGACAAAGTGCACATTAACAGCAACATCACAGCAGTTTTCCAAAGATCTGTATTGTAACAATATTGTTTGGATACAAAATTGTACAGTTTTCCCCATTTGCTATATTGCAAACAATCTTGAAAAACAACTAGGAGGGAGAACACACAATATTTTTTACCATAATATATGGTACAGCAAGCATATAAAGTGTAACCGGAAATTAACTCTGGAAGCTGTACTCAAAAGACAGAGAAATGGCCTAGTCACTAGTATTTCGTGTGGTCCCCAGCTGTTTCTCCATTGCTGACTTAGCATGCCTTGCCCTGCAGTGTCTCTTTGTATGGAGGCGGCCATCTTGGAAGAGGCAGGGAGTTGAATCCTCACATCAGAGCCTCCAGCAAAACAGAAGGCAGCACATGACCAGATTTTGCTCCAAATCTCTGGAAACTAACAGGCCACAAAGCCTTAATTTAACCCTGCAAATATACAGAATGTAGGCATAGGAGGTTCTGGGTACAGAACTGCAATGCTATTTTTCAGGATGAACTCAAGTATAAAATGTATAGTTTTTGGGGTACTTCTCCATAAAAATATAACAAAATCTTCAATTTTTGTGTTCAGTTACACGTAATAGGACTTTAATCATGGCTATCATGTGTTTCACTTTTCCCATGTTAGATCTTATGTTTTTCAAATGTTCAGCGGCCAGATAGGCTTTTCTTCCAATTTTCTGGAAATGCTGGCAGCTATGTTTTAAGGAAAGCAATAAGGTCATACAATAACTCAAACTACGTCATGAAATACACTAGTTTTTCTGAACTGAAAGAAATTTGGAAACTGCTGTTAGTAAACTCGGTAGCCTCTAAGTCGCAAACAAGCACTCAAAGTAGAAAGTCAGCAGAAATCCTGATCTGCACACTTGATCCAGGTCTGTATTGAAGACATTGGATCAGCATGACTGATAAGCAACTGGCATTTTCAGGACAGATCAGCAATGGCAGCTTCCTAAACAAAAGAGTTGGGCTGAGCACTGCTCAGTCATTCACAGGAACATTTGTATTTTCTGAATGAGTACAAGACTCTCTCTCATGCATTGAGGTGGAGATTGCAACATCATCTGTCCACCTCTCCTCCTCAGCCAATCAAAAGAAACCTTGTATTCATTAAAAAAAAAAGAAAAAAAAAAAAAAAAAAGAAACAAAGCTCTCAGCCTTACTCCGTTTTGTTCCAAGAGCAGGACAGGAAGTCCCCGTGCCACTGCTGGAGCACAGAGCTGTAGACTGTATGTAGTTGATGTTACATACAATTTATACAGTGCTCACAGAGGGCATTTCTACTAGTGAAGGTAACAGCTCATGTGAACCAACTTGAGACAAGACAAAAAAAGCAGGAATTTGGCTTTAAAATACCCAACTCTAGGCTGACATCTCTCTCCCCATTGAAGCACAAGTTCAATGTCTTTCAATTCAGAATATGAGCAGTGCTGGAAAATGTAGCAGCGGCTTTTTTTTACTTTTACAAAAGAAGCTGGGGGCTGGATTCTTCCTTTTGTTGGAAAAGGGTAATTAGCTCAAACACAGCCATAAAATACTTAAAGCCCCAATTTAACCATCTTAATTTATCATAGAAACTCAGAAAAAAAGTGACAGCAGAAAAAGATAGCGTGGTCCATTGAGTCCACCCTTTTTTTTTTGTTTTTCTTTGGCTTAGATCTATACTTTTCCCAAGCATGTTTGAAGATATTTACTGTTGACTGGCTCACTACATCTGCTGGAAGTGTATCATTGTGAAGCAGCTGTGCATACAGTAATAAATATTGCACTTTTTATCAGCCAAGGGCAGCAGCAAGAGTTAAAAAATCCTGTGCAGCTCTAGGAGAGTTGAACTCTAACACACAAGGGGTGGCCTGGCTCTGCAGAAGTCCTAGGCATCCCCTTCACACTACTCCAACCTGAGCTACTGATTCCAGCCAAGTTCTAATCAAAAACTCTTCCTACAAAACAAGCCATTCAATTAAAATATTAAAAAAAAAAAAAATCATCTGAGTTTCACTGATGTTATTGTAACCTATGTGCCATTGATAGCCCCTACGTGGGCATACGTTTTGCCTTATTGGAATTAGAGCGATGTCTGCTCTATTATACATTTTCTATCGGTGCAATTGATAGCCCCTGCGTGGGCGTGTTTTGTTGCCTCTGTTTTATACTGTTTAAAATTAATAAAAACCATTGAAATACAAAAAAAAAAAAAATCACCTTTCCAAATCGCACACATTCTAAAATGTCACTAGTGACATTGAGATATCAAACCGCATCTTACCTGGCTTCTGTTCTCTCCATTGCTCCCCTGTATAAATAGATAAGACTGCAGAAGTGGACCAGGAACTGTAAAATCACAGTCAGGATGGTGTACAGGTTGAAGATGTTGGGCAGAGGACGTTCCCTGGAGAGGTATTTTAGAGGCTGAAATTTAAGGGGTGGAATGTGAATTATTTGGGTGAAAAAAAACCAAACATTGAGGTAAACAATTCTTTTTTTCTCTGAGGAACTGTTCCATTTAATTCTTCCTTTAACCGCTTCCATACCAGGCACTTTTTTACCCCTTCCTGCCCAGGCCAATTTTCAGGTTTCAGTGCTCTCACACTTTGAATGACAATTGCGCGGTCATACAACATTGTACCCAAACTAAAATGTTATTTTCTTTACACAACTAGAGCTTTCTTTTGGTGGTATTTAATCACCGCTGGGGTTTTTATTTATGGCTAAACAAAAAAAGACCAAACATTTTGAAAAAAAACCCCACGTTTTTCTTTGTTCCTGTTTATAAACGTTTACAAATAAATAATTGTTCTTCATAAATTTAGGCCAAAATGTATTCTACTACATTTCTTTGGTGAAAATAACCCAAATTAGGATGTATTATTTAGTCTTTAGGAAAGTTATAGAGTTCATAAACTATGGGATATATCTGAATATTGATCAATCCTGAAGTACTGACAGCCAATCTAATTTCTTGAGGTCCAAGAATGTCAGAACAGTACAGATATCCCCCAATTGACCTTTTTTTGCAGAGTAGACAGTCCGACGTACTTCATAAGAGACATGGCGAGTTTTTTTGAAGTAATTTTTTTGTCATAATGTTTCGGAAATGAAGAAATTAAAAAAATGATTTTCACTATTTTTTTTTTACATACTGTCACCAGTGCAGTACAGCGTCATCATATAACTGGCATGGCGGTGATCAGGGACACTGACTGTTGACAGTGCGAAAAAAAAAAATAATTTTTCTGAATTTTTATTTTATTTTTTAATAAATTTTTTTCTCTTTTTTTCATATTTCACTATGACCAAAGTAGTACAATGTTACCATAGTAACATTGTACTACTACGGGGAAGTGATCAGTATTTTTTTTTTTTTACACAATTAGCTTATAGCAAAGAATTTCTTTGCTATAAGCAAGCATTTACCTGAATTAAATTGGTTCATTCAGAAGTTTTCTTTTGTGTGCTTAGCTGTGATTTGACCACAGCTAACCACATGACACAGGCGGGCTGTGATTAGCCCAGCTTGTGCATGTGATTGCTGTGACCATTCACAGCTAGACACACTTGTATAGAATGGATGGCATGAAAGGAAGCCATCCATTGTATATAACTGTCATGAGACCTGCTGTGATTGGTCACATGGTACTGTCAACAGGGTCGGTACACAGATCTGTCATCGGCCGTGTCCAAGGTACACAGCCGGTGACAGATTGCGCCGCTGCGCGGCCCTGCAGGCAGGCGTAATGCGCATGCCTGGAAGGATGCCACCCGGAGGGATGAGCTGTTCACCCGGTCGCCATCTGGCTATAGGCCGGGCAGCAACTGGTTAAACAAGTGTACTAATTATTTGACTGCAATGCTGACTCCCCTAGGCTTCAATACTTTAAGTCACTAACGCAGAATAAGTATGAAGAAAAGGGACTTCCAGAACTACACACCTGTTCCAAGTCAGCAACTCAAAAAGTACAGGGTTGTAACAGTCTGGCAACTAGGGTTTTTAGGACTAAGTCCGTAAAGAGAATTCCTAGATTTCTGTTAGAAAAGGTTTAGTTTAAAAAGGCATGACTTTTGTATTCACCACCTGCAGCCAACAAATTGTGTACAGCTCTTTACACTTTTGTTGAGTCATTTTACTGCTATGCTCTGAACAGTTTAGTGTACTTTGACCAGGTGTTCTTAAGGCCTAGTGCCAAGACACCCAACTCTATGAATCAGAGGTGGACAACCCCATCTCTCCCCCATCTTTAGCTCAAACGGAGATTCTGTGAAAGACTGACCAGGCGCTGTTGGATTTTACAAGAAAATAAAGTCACATAGTAGACAAACATCCACTCACACTACATATTGCAGCAGTAATTACCTAAGCGGAGTATTATCAGAGAATAATTTTACTAACAGTCATTCTGTGTGTCAGTAGTTTTGGGTGGTGTACCCTTTTACAGAAAGGAAATAGCCCCAGAATGTAATGGCATTTACTCCGCGAAAAAGCTTTGCTCTGTAAAAATAGTGAGTATTAAGAAAAACAGACACACCTTGGATCGGGAGATGAAGAGAAAGCAGCCAGCCAAAAGAAGCCCCTGAAGTGTTGCTTGAAAGTCACTGAACTTCACCCCCTCCAGATAAAGAACACTCTGTCCGTAGGCCAAGATGAGGGCATTCAGTGCCAGGATTTTAAACATCTGCAGCGTTGTTACCAGGGTACAACGGCCTTGCTTGACAACATGGCAGACTACAGACAGGGAAGAAAAAAAAATACATACATTTTTTACATTGTCAAACTCCATCTAGGTCTTCAAACATATCTTACTGAAAAGCCAGAGTGGTTTAGGTACTTATTTATTAATAATTCAGTCCTCTATATAGAAGTCATTAAATTGGGAAAAAGTAAAAAAAAAAAAAAAAAAAAAACACACTAAGGTGGAGTTGTTCCTGTAGTGATCAATAGAAATTCATGTTTAATCAATTAATGAAAGATGAACCCTGACAATCCTAATTTGGTAGTCCTCATCTCTAATTTTAATCACTTCAGCGCTCACACCTGTACACCCACTACAGACCAGAGCAAATTTTACATTTCTGCTATGGGCCTATACAGTGGGGCAAAAAAGTATTTAGTCAGCCACCAATTGTGCAAGTTCTCCCACTTAAAAAGATGAGAGAGGCCTGTAATTGGCATCATAGGTAGACCTCAACTATGAGAGAAAAAAAAAGAGGAAAAAAAATCCAGACAATCACATTGGCTGATTTGGAAAGAATTTATTTGCAAATTATGGTGGAAAATAAGTATTTGGTCTCCTACAAACAAGCAAGATTTCTGGCTCTCACAGACCTGTACCTTCTTCTTTAAGAGGCTCCTCTGTCCTGCACTCATTACCTGTATCAATGGCACCTGTTTAAACTTATCAGTATAAAAGACACCTGTCCACAACCTCAAACAGTCACACTCCAAACTCCACTATGGTGAAGACCAAAGAGCTGTCGAAGGACACCAGAAACAAAATTGTAGACCTGCACCAGGCTGGGAAGACTGAATCTGCAATAGACGAGCAGCTTGGTGTGAAAAAATCAACTGTGGGAGCAATAATTAGAAAATGGAAGACATACAAGACCACTGATAATCTCCCTCGATCTGGGGCTCCACGCAAGATCTCACCCCGTGGGGTCAAAATGATCACAAGAACGGTGAGCAAAAATCCCAGGACCACACGGGGGGACCTAGTGAATGACCTGCAGAGAGCTGGGACCAACGTAACAAAGGCTACCATCAGTAACACACTATGCCTCCAGGGACTCAGATCCTGCAGTGCCAGACGTGTCTCCCTGCTTAAGCCAGTACATATCTGGGCCTGTCTGAAGTTTGCTAGAGAGCATTTGGATGATCCAGAAGAGGATTGGGAGAATGTCATATGGTCAGATGAAACCAAAATAGAACTGTTTGGTAGAAACACAACTCGTCGTGTTTGGAGGAGAGAGAATGCCGAGTTGCATCCAAAGAACACCATACCTACTGTGAAGCATGGGGGTGGCAACATCATGCTTTGGGGCGGTTTCTCAGCAAAGGGACCAGGATGACTGATCCATGTACAGGACAGAATGAATGGGGCCATGTATCGTGAGATTTTGAGTGCAAACCTCCTTCCATCAGCAAGGGCATTGAAGATGAAACGTGGCTGGGTCTTCCAACATGACAATGATCCCAAACATACCGCCCAGGCAATGGAGTGGCTTCGTAAGAAGCATTTCAAGGTCCTGGAGTGGCCTAGCCAGTCTCCAGATCTCAACCCCATAGAAAACCTTTGGAGGGAGTTGAAAGTCCGTGTTGCCCAGCGACAGCCCCAAAACATCACTGCTCTAGAGGAGATCTGCATGGAGGAATGGGCCAACATACCAGCAACAGTGTGTGCCAACCTTGTGAAGACTTACAGGAAACGTTTGACCTCTGTCATTGCCAACAAAGGATATATAACAAAGTATCGAGATGAACTTTTGATATTGACCAAATACTTATTTTCCACCATAATTTGCAAATAAATTCTTTCCAAATCAGCCAATGTGATTATTTGGATTTAGTTTCTCATTTTGTCTCTCATAGTTGAGGTCTACCTATGATGCCAATTACAGGCCTCTCTCATCTTTTTAAGTGGGAGAATTTGCACAATTGGTGGCTGACTAAATACTTTTTTGCCCCACTGTATGCACACCATACTAGCACATTTTGACAGATCTACCGTCAAAAGCAGCCCTCCAGCGCAGCGCTGTTGCTGGCACATCCGTCTCCACCTGTTCTTCCTTCCAGATTTGCACTGTCTGGCCTTCTCAATGGCTGGTCCATGATGACGTCACTCCCGCACATGGGCATGGGAGTCATGATAGTGGCAATTACTCGCCGGCGCCCGGTGATTTCCGAGGATCTCCGACGGGGATGAGAATTGTTTTGTTTACTAACAGTTCTCCTCCCTGTCACCTCAGGCACACTGCTCTGGATGGCTGTGACTGTAATCCAGAGCAGTGTGCTCACAGTGATGCACACAGACACCGCCCCCTAGTAAAACACTCCCTGCACACAGTTAACCCTTTCACAGTTAACCCTTTTTAGCACAGATCACTGTATTGGTGTCACTGGGGATGTCAGTGACGCCAAGTCAGTTCCCCCCAGTGTCAGAATGTTCACGTATTTTGGCGTAAATTTAGGATGAAATTACGTTTTTAAATTTTTTTACTGGACATGTTTAATAGCAGAAAGTCAAAAATGTTTCTCAAAATAGTCTTTTTTTTTATTGCACAACAAATAAAAATGCACGTGATCAAATACCACTAAAAGAAAGCTCAATTCGTGGGAAAAAAAGGACGTAAATTTCATTTGGGTGCAGTGTTGCATGTCCGTGCAATTGTCAGTTAAAGCAACGTAGCGCCGTAACGCAGACAAAGGCCTGGTCAGGAATGGGGGTAAATCCTCAGGAGGGCAAGTGGTTAAATACCACCAAAAGAAAGTCTGTTTGTGTGAAAAAAATGATTAAAATCTCATATGGGTACAGTGTTGCATGACTGCACAATTGTCGTTCAAAGTGCAACAGCACTGAAAGCTAAAAATTGGCCTGGGCAGGAAGGGGTAAAAGTGCCTGGTAGGCAAGTGGTTAACAGAGTTCTGTGAATGAACTAGATCTACCCTCAGCTTCACGGCTGATGGCTTGTAGTTGTCAATGAAGAGTGAGGGCGCTGATGAGCGTTCTCATCGTTTATCGATTCTACTTGCTATTCAACTGCTGCATGCCTGTACGGGCACAGAAGCCAACGCCTGCATGTTGACTGTTACTCACTGCACTGGATAGAGGACAGCTTTGACGTAAATGGAGCAGCAATACTCGCATCTCCCAGCTTGACTACTTGCACCTGATCCTCCTCCAACTCCTTTAAGACTTGGCTGATCCTCTCCTAGAAATAAACACAGTAAACAAACAGATGTATTCAGCTGACAAAAAAACAAAAGGAAAGGAATTCTACATGAAAAATTAAATATTAAAATCAAGGGATGAAATGCAACTTAAAGGATAAGCTCACATTTAAAAAAATAAATAAATAAATGCCAATAAAGTTCTGGTGCTAATAAAGTTCTGGATATACGTTCCTTTTTTGAGAATAGGACAGAGATATTCCAATGCAGAAGGAAAGGGTGTCTCACATGCCAATTTATAGATCATGGGCAGTCCTCTCTTACTGATAGAAAAGGGAGTGTTTATAATATCAAGCAGTTAGTTACCTGCTCTTCAGAGTATGCAATTTACATCTTGCATCTCGAAATCTCTTCAACATGAGTCACACAAAATGCACATTACAAAAACGCATAGATGAGCACCATAGCCTCATTAAGGAGGGTCTCGACAAATACAGTGTGCCTTGACACTCTTCGGCCCACCATGGAAAGAACATTGGAGCCTTGAGGGTGCTGCCCATGAGTGTACATTCGAAAGAGTTTTGACTGCCAATGAGAGATTTTCCTTGTTGTACAAAAGAGAAACTTTCTGGATATACAAACTGGGTACCATTTAACCCAACGGGTTAAATGAGGAGCTGGAAGTGCATAGTGTAATATAGGTACCTAGGTCGGTTTTTATACATACTTTATTTTCCTAGTTATCGGTTTGATACAAGAAAACATAAATAACTATTTTATGGTCTTTTAATTGATTGGCATCTACATATTCATAGATAGACTCTCTCTCACTCTCCCTCTCTCTCCCCCTTAAATATCCATGTGGTCCTAAATGGCACCAGCAGCAGCCATCCTAGGGAAAGCCAACTCTGTATGGAAATGGAAAGAAGAAAAGGAAGCGCCACCTAAGTGCAGTACTAAAAGGGATGTTTAATAGACCCCCAACCCTAAGGGAAGGGGGGGCAGACTATTTAGTTTCCTATTTATTCCCTTCGTACTGTCATAGTCACGTGACTTGGGAAAGGGCCATGCCAGTAATGCGTTGTCATGGGGACAGTCTAAGCTTCCATCTGGTGCGGTTCGGCTTGCATTCAATCCCACGTTCTGCATCCAGGCAGCAGCTCTCCATTCGGAAGATCGATGACATAACATCCGATGTGTCACTTCCGGGTATGATCCCGCCACTGAGAGGTTCCTGGTATCCAATCGGACAGAACTATAGACCTTTGCCATCTGCAACTCGCAGCTCCATCAGCGTTCACTTGTGGACAAAAATCGCAGTCTTTACCGCCTACATCTGCACACCACTGCTGCTGCTCTGGGCTGTGTAAGCTTTTACCAGCTTGGATGGTTCTTTAGGCTAGGTTCACATATGTGCGGGCGGTGCCCCCTGCGTATCCGCACAAAAATCCGTGCAGCCGCACCACCAACACAGAAGAATGCAGACCCGCGGGCGGATGCCATTAATTCTAATGGCACACCGCTCACACTGGAAATCGCAACCGTAATGGGAACAGAGGTTCCCATGCGGGTTGCTGTTTCCAAAGAACTGCAGGAAGTTCTTCCCTGCATGTCCCGGGGCATAGGAGTCCATTCAAATGAATGGGCGCTCGTGCCCGCGCAACGCACATATGTGAACCAGGGCTTACAATTGTTTATAGGCGGCTTTCCTAGCTGAACATTGTTTTAATTTAGCTCTGGCTGGAACACAAGATATATCAAGTCTCTTACCTTGAATTCAGTACAGTGACACTTCAATTTATGCAACTATCCCTTAAGCACTGTGATTTGGATATTTTGAACTATGCATATTTTTTGCAGGTAAAAAAAGAAAAAAAAAAAAAAAGGATTGTGTAAGGCATTGCACCTGTGCTCGCTACAGCCTCATAGTTCACTGAGAACTTGCAAGCTGCCAGCTGCAAAGACTTTACTACTTGTAGTCTATTCATTCACGGAACTCTGAATAAAAAATGTAGTCGTGTGGACGGAGCCCCTCATGGCTGTGCTCTTTTCAAATTGTGACAGCGAGTGCTGTCATATTGGGGGGGGGGGGGAAATCGGGTAGAGCTGCAGGAGCAAAAACATGAGCTTTCTTTTGGGAAGCCATTAAACCTGTATGTTTAGTTCCGCTTTCAGGGAAAATTGTGATGAATTGTAAGAAGAGAAAAAAAATAAGATATCAATCAATAGAAGCAGAGATGCAGGAGCCGTATTTAAACATTAAGCTTAATCTCTCCTGTAAAGGTAAGCCTGGCCCCACCCACTCCACCTCCTGAGCCTTCCTTTTGGTCATTTAATTTGATTGAAGGCTGAGGCACCAGAGGATGGGGGGGGGGGGGGGGGGGGGGGTGTAGGTCACAGCTTCTAACAGGAAAATTTGAGATTTGTACATAACTTTAGCTGCATTTATCTTAGGATCTACTCACTACTTTGACATGTTTATAGATCTTTTTTTGCAATATGTTTGAATTGTCCAGCTTTGCGACAGATTTATTTTAAAGGATGTTCACCTTCGGGAACATGTTACGTGTTCCACCCACTTTTAGTCTGACAGTCTACAAGCAGGAGGAGAAATGACAATCATGATCAACTGTCTGTAGGCAAAATGTGCTTGGGTGATAACTATCCCAGTTCTTTTGTCAGACAACTTTAATATGGAATAAAATTTTAGACTGTAAAATCAATGTGGCTTATTTGAGCTGTAAACTCACCCGTTGTAGAGCATGCTGTTCCTCTCGCTGTGACATGATTCTGTTTTTAGCTGCTCGGGATGTGGGCTTAATTGAGTTACTAGAGTGTGGGGGCATTGGTCTGCCATCACCAACCACTTCCCGTTTCTGCTTCTTCTTCTCTGGCAACCGTTCTGGTGCATTGGCAAGCAAGGCCACCCCTGCAATAATCAGCATGATGTCTTTACTATCACAAAAACAAACAGTGCAAGAGTTCATAATCGAATGGGAAGGGAGGGAGGGTAGAAAGTGCATTTGTAGAAAGTATCAGCCCTGTGTACCTATACTTACAACATAAAATAATTAAAATGTATACTCCAGCCCAAAAAAAAGACAGAACAAAAAAAACAGTATGCAATGCATGGAGGGTCCATATAGTCTATCTACACAGGGCTTCTGTTTTCAATCAGGGCTATGCTGTGCTATCCAACATATTCCCAGTCTCACCCATAGTGTGAATCTTCAGAATATTAGAAAGCACATCAAAAACTCTACAGCCACACAATGCTCCTGTTTCATCTTCTCCAGATTTCCACTCACAGCCAAATACACAATTTAAAAAAAAACACATTTGTTTACGGTTTTACCTGTTTGGCTGCACAAGGGGTCATTATTTTCAGCCAAACGTTTGATTTACAAACATCTGCAAACTGCACACTTGAGGCATGATCAACTTATTTCTTGCTTCAGCAATGTAGTGTCTCTTCTTTCTCCTTCTTGTTTATTGGACAATGAATAAGCATGAACTATTCTGTCTAATTAGCAGGGAGGTGGTCCAAGACAAGTGAAGTGGTTGTAAAGCCTAAACATTTCTTATCTTAACACATTCCTTTCATGAAAGTAAAAAATGTTTAGGTTAAATTAAAACAACCTCAACATCTCCCCCCCCAATCATATACTTCCCCAAGCCCTCACTCGATCCAGCACAGTGCCCGTTTGCAGCAGCTCTCTCTTCTCCCCACTCTGACAGGCTTTACGGAGAGCAGTGGAACCCATTCGTTCCCGCAGCTGTCAGTCAAATCATGTGACGAGGAAGCAGGGAGAGGAGCTGAGCCTCACACTGTCTGTGTCAATAAGGATTGAGCACACAGGTGTGCCATGATAGAAAGCAGCTTCCTATGGTAGTAAAACAAGAAGCTGCCAGGACCGCCAGCAGGGGACCCGAGAAGAGGAGGCTCAGGGCTGCTCTGTGCAATCCCATTGCACGGAGCAGGCAAATATAAACCTGTTTTTTCACATTGTAAACAGTTTTTTTTTTTTTTTTTTTTTTTTTTTTTTTTTTTTTAAAACACTCAAGCTAGATCAGCAGGTGGCACTGCAGTCTCTATGACTGTGCAGCGTAGCAGAGCCATGCAGGTCAGAATGCTGGATGAACATTATAATTTATTTGGCAGGTAAAAAAAAAACAAAAAAAACCCCCCGTATTTAGCTTTTGCCTGAAGTTCCTTCTGGCCCTTTTTTATGGGGGTTTTGATGCTGGAAGGCAGGGCTGGGTTTGTGATGTGACCACCGTGATTGGCTGTCACATCAATCACATGATAGGAAAGCTTCCGATCGCAAGCTTTTCAGTTAACCACCAGTAAATGTGCTGGGAACGCACTCCTGGCACAGTTCTGTTTTTGTGCAGTACGAATATATGCAGCCTCTTGGCGTTAAGGCCCACCAGCCGAGAGGCCGCATATATGCATGTGACCAGCGGGAAGGAGTTAAATATTATTGCAAAGACATCTAAACAACTGTAGGCATTAACAAGGGGCAACACAGCTTGTAAGAGGGAAAGATTAACTAAGCAGTTCCATTCAAGACATAATGAAAAAGGAAAAGAGATTTCACACCCAAGACCAAAACAGTCCATTTTACTAAAACTTTTCTGTTTCTATAGTGCACAAGTAAAGGCCTTTACTCACCCACATTTGCATGTTTTAAAGCCCCCACATCATTGGTTCCATCTCCACACATCAATGTAACATAGCCCAGCTCCTTTAGACTGGTAATCACAAACTCCTGTACACAAGGGAAAACCAATCAAAATTTGCAAGAAAAAAAAAATAGCAATTTGGATTTACATTTTCCAAACACTAGAAATTAAGTCAGACTGTTATTACCAGTGTAAACTTTATTTGTTAGATGTTTAGCCATCTGAATAAAAATCTGACCGTTCCATTCACCTGCCAGGAGTGAGAAAGACAAGCCCAGTGTAAACTACTCAGAAAGCACTGAGCCAAGATTGTTTTCACATGAAAGGAAGAGGAGTGAGACATATGCTCTTCCATTTCTAAAACAGGTCTTTCTTTTGCTCCCAGGAGATTAAAGGACATAATAAAAATAAAAAAGCAATAAAAAGGAAAGGGACTATGTGCTGCTGGACTGAGCCTCAAAGAAAATCTGTTGCATTGGCCTGTATGAGCAATGCAGAGGCTCACTTTAAATTCTCTGAACAGTTTAGCAAAAGACTAATCTATATTTATTCTCAGCAGGCACACAGAAAAAAAAAAAAAAAAAAATAATCAGCGATAGCTTTGCTTTTGCTAAATGCTAACAATGCATACAAGTGACTTCAACCAGTTTTTCTCCCTTCCCCCAGCAAGTGTGAAGATACACCAAAAAGCCACAGAAGATAGGCAGAGCATAGACATATTACATGTGATATCAATCGCCACCAACAATCCAATACTGAAATATCCATAGTGGCTGAAATCAGCATTTAATCAAGATAGAACGAAGATAGGTGGTCAAATCTGATTTGTAGTCGGTAAGGAAGTGTGTATAAAAAAAAGCGAATAAAAGATGAATGTGAGAAGACATTCATTAAAGTGTTACTAAACCCACATCAGTAAAATCAGTCTGTATATGCAGTAAAGCATGCTTGTTTATACTCACTATGGAACCTAAGGGGTTATTCCTCTGCATTGTGTAAAAAGGCCGTTTGATCCGGTTTTCTCTACCCTCATCTTGTTCAAACGTCCACCTGATAAGACAGACTGAACCCATAGCTACATGCACATGCTCAGTTTAGTGTGTATTGCTAGGGTTTTTTTTTCTGAACAGTGCATGTGATCAGCACAGGGTCAATCAGCGCGATCCAGACAGAGGGTCAGGGGTTTTGCAAACTCCCAGAGAAGAAAAAAAAACTCCTCCTACAAGCTTTAACCAGTGCTCTGCTGAAGTCACAAGACTGCTCTAACTGCTGATGAGAAAAGGTATTTACCAGTGTATATTTACTAAAATAATTGCACTTCCATGTTCTGTGTATTGTGAAAGACCAGATATAGTGAATGCAGGGTCCTGGGTTTAGTAACACTTTAATGCAAAATGAAATTAAAACTTTTTTTTTTTACCTTCTGCTTCGGGGACACCCGTGCAAACACCTGGGTGTGTGGAATAAGTGCATTCAACAGATCCCCTCTTGTGGTCTGCAGGTAAGACAGACCCTCTCCAGTTAGGCATAGGTAGTACTTTTCAGTGAATGACTTCACAGTATCAGGAAAGGCTGGCAAGGACACTGTGCCATCGATAGACCGCCACACCCAGCTGGCATCTGAAGACAAACAGGAGATATATTAAAACAATTGGGTAAACAAGGTTTATGGCAAGTTCAGAAATCTATGCATAGTTTTAAAGGTCCTCAAAGTTTTGCATTACAATGAAAAGGGCAACTGTTACTTTGATTACATTTTAAGTAAAAATGTATAAGTAAGCTACATGTATGTTTGTCTTTTATTCAAATCGTGGTACAGCTAGGAGTAGTTAGTAGTCACATTCAGCTGGACTTTTTCTGTAATACTAAAGACATTTCACCAATCATCCAAGTGGGTTTCTGACTGAGAAAAAAAAGAACAAACACCCAAAAGAAGAAGTAAAGTAGGCTAGTATATGCAGCTGTGTAGTGAAGAACACAAAGAACTGCACAATGGGGAGACTTGGGGACCATTCAACAAAAAAGTAAATTATGCAGGTCGGGACCTCCAACACCCTAGTGAAAGACATTCCTCCCAGGATAGTAAAATGCACACTTTGGACTGAGGAAAATTGGTTTGTAAGATGCGTGAGGTCATCAACATTAAACTAAACCACCATCTATAGACAGGGCACAGGCCTGCATCTGTCTCTCACATATACCTTTTTAAAAATTTTAACCTAGAACATTTACTGCAATGTACACCTTCAACCATGTAACATCTGTCCAAGCATTACAATTAACACCCATCCCAGAATTCACCACGGTGATCGGATTGTGTATATTTAGAACAGGTTGGTTTTACAGACTTACACCTTCCATCGTGTTCTTGAGCAATCAACATCTATCTTGACAAATTATATGACACCATAGTGATTGGATCAAGGTGGCTCAGCTACCTGGGTAACTATAAATGTTGACGTATGTCCTAACACTTATAACTGAGGAAGTGTCTTGAAAATAAAAACAACTTCAAGGTTTAAATGTAGCCCAAAATTAAGGTTTTTTTTTTTTTTATTTGCTTCAATGTCCCTCATGCACACATTCCATTTACACACCAATGTCATTCTGCATGGGGAAATTTTTTATAGCAAAAGCGGTTACAAACTTCTCAACTCCGTATCAAATGCAGTGCAGATATTACTAACCTTTCAAATCCTGTGCAGGCTGTAGGATTAATGTGTCCTGTTTCTCAATAAAACTAAGCTCTTGAGCCACATGACAGGCAGTGAGAGGATTGTCACCAGTTATCATCACCACCTGGGAAACAGAAGAGCGGAGGGGTCATATTCACCTGAAATGCTGAAAACCGCTTTAAAATGAGGAGCTGTAACCATTGTTAAAAGTGATATTAAAAGACAATAAAAAAAAGAAAAAACCTGTCATACTTACCTGCTGTGTGCAGTGGTTTTGCACAGAACAGCCCCAATACTCTTCATTTCGGGGTCCCCGCTGACACTCCTGGCCCCTCCCTCCTGCCCCCAGAGCATGCAGCTTGCTATGGGGGCTCTGCAGTCACTGCTCTGCGTGTCAATTCACACACAAACTGTGGCATGGCCCCGCCTCCTCCATCTCCTCACTGGCTCACTGTCTGTGATTGACCAATGGCTTCCACTCCTGTCTCAGCCAATGAGGAGTCCCTGGATTTTGTAACCTAAAAAATAATATTTTAACCTAAAAAGGTACTTGTCTGGATTGAATTAAAGCGGTAGTAAACTGCAAAAAATAAAACAAAAAAAATCTGCTCCCTGTCAGTTAATCACTTGCCCTCTAGATGATTTACCCCCTTCCTGGCTTGTTTGCGATACGGCGCTGCGTTACTTTAACAATTGCACAGCCATGCAATTGTTAAAGCCATGCAATGTTATACATAAATTAAATTTATGTCCTTTTTTCCCACCAATAGAGCTTTCTTTCGGTGGTATTTGATCGCCTGTGTGTTTTTAATTTTTTGCCCTATTTAAAAAAAAAAAAAAAAACAAAACAAAAAAAAAAAAAAAAACGACAATTTAGAGAAAAAAAAAATATTTTTTTTTACTTTTTGCCATTAAGCACTTCCAGTAAAAAATTTTTTATTCAAATCTAAATCATAAATTTAGGCCAAAATGTATTCTGCTACATGTCTTTGCTAAAAAAAAAAAAAATCCCAAATTAGTTTACATGAAAGTTATAGCATTTTACAAATGGTGGTATATATACTGGGATTTTTATTTTTCATTTATACTAGTAACGGCAGCAACCAGCGACTTATAGCGGGACTGCGGCGGGCATGCTAACACTGGGGGGAACTCACTGACAAAGTGATCAGTGCTAAAAAAAAAAAAAAAAAAAAAAAAAAAAAAAGGAAGCACTGGCCCTGTGCTAATGACACTGGGCAGGAAGGGGTGATGAGGGGAGATCAAAAGGTTAACTGTGTGTGCTTTACTAGGGGGCTGTGTCCGTGTGCTTCGCTTCACTGTAAGCACACTGCTTTGGATGGCTGTGCACAGCCATCGAAAGCAGCGTGCACGAGCCGACAGGGAGGAGAACGGTTTTGTTTGCCTGCGATATATAAAAGATATATATGGGCAAATTACTTGGTATCAAATCCCTTATGAACTTCTACTGTCCCAGCATCAATTACACAGTGCATGCACCTAAAACCGCTAAAAACATATCTTACATGGTGGGATGCGTTCTGGATCTCCTTGATAACAGCTTTTGAGTCAGCTTTAAGTGGGCAGGAGACCACAATGAAACCAGCAAACCTCAGATCACACTCCAGCGTCTCCCGCTTTATTTCACGTATCTAGAAAAAGAGATATGCACAAGAATATGAAATATTTTTCAAAAGCAGTCAATAGAAGAGCAAAAAGGTCTCTTTAAAATCTGTTGATTCCATATAGTATCTTTATATAACAGTAAGTTGAAGGCACCTCCCTCTTTATTAAAGCGTACTGGATGTAGGACCTAAACCATCAAAATGCCACAATTTACGGATTTGGAATAATGCATTCATTTGTGGAACTCCATGCATCTGGCCCAAATAGGGTACATTTGCCAGGTGAAGGACAATCCCTAATGCAGGCCATAGAGGGGTCATATATATATATATATATATATATATATATATATATATATATATATATATCAGACAAATTTTCGTCCGCACGAAAAATTAGCCGATAATCACGCCGTTAGTGGGGTCAGCCCGTTTGCCGTTTTTCATGGATCTTCTCGTTTACTTTTATCGGTCATGCTGGAAAATCGGTGGCAGTATCGCTGCCAGCAACGGACGGTTTTTCGTTTATCGGCTGAAAATTCGGCCGATAAACAACCCGTCTATGGCCAGCCTAAGGCTCCATTCACACTTATGCAAGTTGTCATGTGACTTTGGAGACTAAAGTTGACAAGTCACACCCCATGTTTTTCAATGACACTCATTAAAATATGTACGACTTAAAGTTGCAGCGACTTCAAAGTAGTTCAGGCACTATTTTGGTACGGCTTTCATGCAACTTGAGTGTCAGACTGCAATATAAACCTTCAACAGTCATATGAAAGTTGCATCTGAATGTTATACATGCAACAGTTTTCCATTATCATTGATGAAAGTCAAAGTCATATCCAAATTGCTGAAATGAATAAATGGGGAAAGGGAGAGAGGCGCCCAAGGCACAAATATAGTGTAGTATGCTAATTTATTAAAAAGATCATATAATATTGCACTCACAAGGGTGATGTGTCAGGCATGTCATTATGGCAGAAGTCCATAACCGCAGGCAGATGGATGGCATGATCCACTGGGAGCTGGATGGAGAGGTAGCTTCTGGAGATGCAGAGGATGGGCCCCTTAGAGAGCGGGATGCAAAACCAGGAGCATAGCAAAAACTTCAGCCGCTGTGTGCACTAGTGAATCAGTCAGTGGATTGCTGAACAGATGGAAAGGACTATCATGCAGGAAAGGACAAGCAGCATGTTAACACCACCGAGGGAGTGTGTGTGTGTGACTCTAGGGAACGCATTTTCAGAAGAACAAACTTCCTTCATCAGCCTCAGAGTGCAATATTATATGATTTTAATAAAACGTAATAAAATTGACATACTACACTATATTGGTTGCCTCTCTACCCTTCCCCAATTATTAATTTCAGATATCAGTCTTCCCAGTCGGTAGCCTGTTCCCATTAGTATATGTATATATATCTAGTTATACAGCCTTACCTCTGGGATTGTATTTATTCTCACATGTCACAGTATGAAGAATTTGTTACATTTTATCATGTGTGTTTACTTTTAAGTTGTTACAAGGTTTAGTCAATGAGTACACCATGTTGTTACTCAAACGCTAGCAGTGATTTGTTTCACTGAATTTATTACTAGCACCTGATCTGTGAACGAGCGCCACAGGCAATTTTCTTTTTTTGTATCCAAGTTGCTTCCTTTCAAAGTTTATTTATTTAATGTACTTCTATAGCACCGTCAATTTACGCAGCGCTTTACATATATATTATACATTCACATCAGTCCCTAACCCTCAAGGGGTGTCCAATCTAAGGTCCCTAACTCACATTCATACATACACATACCAGGGCCAATTTAGACAGAATCCAATTAACCTACCAGTAGGTCTTTGGAGTGTGGAAGGAAACCGGAGTACGTGGAGGAAAACCACGAAGGCACAGGGAGAACATGCAAACTCCAGGCAGGCGGTGCTGTGGTTGGGAAAGTTGCATCAAAGTTGCACTCCAAAGTCGAGCAACTTTGGAGTCGTACAAGTGTGAATGAAGCCTAAAGAGCAGTGGCAGTTGGCCAATTAAGTGCAACATATTTCAAGCTGGAATCAGTGCTGGAGATCACATTGTTCACTGATGCAAAGGCTGTAGAGGGTGGGAAATCTAGGTGAGAGCCTGGACAACAATAAATGAGTTGTAATGAACACATTCTCTTCAGCAGATGCAAAACTGCATAGAGGGTTATTCTGTAAATGGAAAAGCTGATGGCTGCACATGACATTATCTAGTTAAAAGGATAAGTTCACCTTTAGCAGGTTAAAAAAAAATGCATTTATTATTTTTGTCTACAGGAGCCTGGAAAGCATTGCACCAGCGATCAGTAGTTTGCTCATACCATGCAGGTGTCCTGCAGACCTGTCAGAATATCTGCTTACCGTACGGGATGTACGGCCAAGCAGATATTCTTACAGGAAGCTTCAATGAACTACCGCGGAGCTCCACAGTGCTGTGGTAGTTCATTGAAAACTACAAGCTCACAGGCGCCAAGGCTGCCAGGACTTGTAGGCACTCATTCACAGAACTCTCTGTGAATGAGTAATGCGGCCATATGGGTAGAGCCTCACATGGCCGTGCTGTTGTTTTCAAATCTGACAGACGGCACAGGGTTTCCCTGTACCATCTGTCAAAGGGAGGGGATGTGGGGGGCACGGCTGCGTCTATGGGAACAGGTTACATGTTCCACCCTAAAAACGGGTGGAACATGTAGCATGTTCCAAAAGGTGTACTTATCCTTTAACCCCTTTTATTTACCTCAGTCTTTCTTCTGTTTTTGATGAAGATTCTCCTTTTTGGCTTGCACCAGGACTGAAAAACTTTCAGACCATTTCACTGCTACCAAACTTGATTAAATTCTGAAACCTAAACCCCCTTGGAATGCACCACAAGCTCCTCAGTCTCAAAAGGAAAGAAATACATTTAGCTGCAGCTCCATCAAAGCATGTGACCAGGTAACGGTTTCTACCCTATGACTTGTTCACCCTAAATGGGCCCGAGTTATAGTGCCAAACTGCATACATGTACTTACATGTGCATTGCAGAGCTTACGACTGGGTATGAAAACCCTTGTTCTCTATGAAGCAGATGGCAGCATTTTTACCCTACAACCTGCATCAGAACAGTATGCAGATGTAAGACACCAAAATCTATTCACTTTCACTTATTTTTACCCATACGCATAGATCCTCAGATGCGTGCCCTAAACATTACTGCTCAACCCTCTGTTACCTTCCACACTGAAGATTCTGCTTTCAATGAGGCAAAAAAGGTACAGTCTTCGGCATGTAAGCAATTCTGAAAGCAAGAAGCTTTAGAAAAAATAAAAGCAGAGGTGAAGTGGAGGTCCAGTGGTAGGTCCTCAAAACTATCACTACAAACCCTCCCCCAATATATACTAAAATATCTCAACCCGTGTTTACACTGCATCATACCAAGTAGAATATTTCCATTGCACATGTTCCTGGAAATGGCTTGAATCAAGTAGATGCTACCAACTGGGAACCGGTGTCAACAAAAGTCAAGGCATATATAGCCAACACACCATGGATCTTCAAAATAGTGCCCAAAAAGTATTAAAGCAATCACATTACAGAAGTAAATTACTGTGTAGAAGACCACTCAGACAAAAGACTTGCACTGGGTTATAGACCTCTAATCAAAAACAACATTGTGAAAACCCAGTGTATTTTGGTTAGTGGAAGAGGAGGCCCAGGATCCTTGCTGTCATATGAAGGAGGATAATATTTCTTCTATTCTCCTGTCTGTGTAGGAGATCTCAACTCTCAGAAACCATAAGCAAATGACTGCATTGCAGATCAGACTATTCTTTGGTTCTGTCTTGGACAGCAGAATAATACAGTGAAGAGACAGTAGTCAGCCCAGCATTAATGCCTAGTACACATGATCAGAAAATCAGACAAAAAATACATTGTTCGAAGTGATTGTTCAATAGTTTGATCATTAGCACACAGCTTTTGGAAGCCGATTACGACCGTTCGGGTGAAATTATCAGAAGGGACAAACACAAAAATGTTTCTCAATACCAGAACGACTGATTTTCGTTTAGGCAGTACAGTATTCATTCAAAACAAAACCAGAAAACAAAAAAAAAAACCCCAAACAATCAGAAGACTAAGACCACGCATGCTCAGAAATGAAAAAATACATTACAATACTATACATTACATCACTTCTGAAGTTGTATTCCATCGTACAAGTATTTTTATAACTTTAGTAACCTATTCATTTTTGACGACTGGCATGCAAAAAAACAAACAAACAAAAAAACAGGTGAAAATTTTCCGATATTCTCTTTGTGTGTATGAGGCTTAAGGACAAGCCTGGACATTTCTGGTGTGCACTCTGTAAAACACAAGTGTAATGTGATGAGGCTATGCTATACTAATCAAAGCCACCCCCCTTACCTGCTGATGGGAGAGATGACCAAGCTCTTTATAACCCAAAGCAAGAACTCTGGCTCCTTCTCGCGAGATCTCTGTGTGCACTTGGTTGTAGTACTCTGGACAGTGAGAGAACTGAAAATAAAAACAAATGATACTGCAGCTTTAATGCCTATGTATGTATAGACAAGTGATTGTGATTGCACACATTTAAAAAAAATAAAAACAAAAACAGGTTTAATCTCCCCTGCTCTGTGCAGCGGAACTCCACAGAACATCCCCAAACCTCCATTTCTTGGGTCCCCCGCTAATGCTTCTGGCTCCTCCTCTCTTATGGGGGCAACTCCTGAAGTCTTACTCCCGAGCCCTGTTGCCTGAGTCTATAGACACAGACAGTGGGACTCGGCCCTTCTCATTACGGACAGATACCCCCCAAATGACCCCTTTTTGCAAAGTAGACAGTCCGACGTATTTCAGAAGAGGCATGGCGAGTTTTCTGAAGTGGTCGTTTTTGTCATAATTTTTTGGAAAATGAAGAAATTAAAAAAAATGTTTCATAATTTTTTGTTTACATACTGTCACCAGTGCAGTAAAGCGTCAGCATATAACTGGTGTGGCGGTGATCAGGGACACTGACTGGTGACAGTACGAAAAAAAAATAATAATTTTTTCTTTGTTACATTTTCGCTTTAAGATTTTTTTTTTTTTTCATATTGCACTATGACCAAAGTAGTAGAATGTTACCATAGTAACATTCTACTACTTTGGAGAAGTGATCGGTATTTATTTATTTTTTTCTTCACACAATTTGATTGCTTATAGCAAAGAATGTCTTTGCTATAAGCAAGCATTTAACTGAATGAAATCGATTCATTCAGGATATTTTTGTTGTGATTAGCTGTGATTGGCCACGGCTAATCACATGACACAGATAGGCTGTGATTGGCCCAACCTGTGCATGTGATCGCTGTGACCATTCACAGCTAGACACACTTGTATGCAATGGATGGCATGAAAGGAAGCCTTCCATTGTATACGTATACAACGGTCATGTGACCTGCTGTGATTGGTCACAGCAGGACACTTAGTACTGGCAACGGGGCCGGTACTCAGATCTGTCTGTACCTCGGATACGGCTGGTGACAAATCTCGCCACAGCGCGGCCCTGTGGGTACGTGCAAAGCGCAGTTCAGGATGGATGCTTACGATGCCCTCCGGAGGGACGAAGTGTTTGCCTGGCCATCATTTGACCATAGGCCGGGCGGCAAGTGGTTAAAAAAAAACAAGACAAAAAACACCACTGCCATATTAATATTAGTCTTCAATTACAATTAATCCACAGTGCTGATATTCCCAACAAGAGTTTTCATACACTGGTCAAAAACGTGAGAAAATAGGATTTTATTGTTGTGGGCTTACTGTACAAACATTTCAGCAAGGCAAGACCTTTGCAATCTACATACCATCTTCTGTAGTGTCTCTGGAGCCCCCTTCACAGTAGCCACGCAGCACAGATCAGTGGAACCAGGACGTTCGTAGGAAGCCAATACAGACATGCGCTTCAGGACGCTGGCAAAATGGAATCTCTGGTGGATTTTCAGGCCCTGGGTTTTGATGCCACGAGGGAACACTTTTTCATCTGATGCACAACAACAGTATGACATGCATTAATAAGTGTAATCTGAAACAATAACCCGCATGTGAGGAGTAACAGAGCACTAAGTAAAGAGCACACACTCAGTACTCAGTACAGTGCAGTCACCACCAACAAATATTTTTCATGTACTAGATCAGCGTTTTTCAGCCAGAGTGCACAGGAACCCTGGGGTGCCTTCAGGCTGCACAGAATCCTTTTTTGCCCCTCTGTCAGCAATGGGGTCACATAAGCTGAACGAGGGAGAGAAACTGAGGAAGAAACATTGGAATTGGAGTGTCAGGCTCTCTTAACACTCAGCAGAAGTGCATTTGATGTGCGAGTAAATGAGGTGCCGGCCCCAATGAGAAGAAAAACAAAAAACACTTTCTTCAGGTTATCCTCCCACAAAGAAGCACTTGGGTGCTCAGTAAAAGTGTATGCGGAGCAGCCAAATAACACTTCAGTGTAGCATGAAGATGTGCATCCTGTGAAGATCTGTATCCCCTGCAGCAACTGCACATGCTGCCAGAATCAGGGAACACAAGCTGAGCTAAAGCCGAAGAGGTACCTGTAGTCACTTAACTCCTTACATGCCGGACTACAGCACAGACAAGGAGTGCTACAACCGCTCTGAAATCCTGTATCCCCAGGGATGGGCACGATTAATAATGATGGCCTGTGTCCTTGCTCGGCTGTAACAGTGCTTGAGCTTTTAAATGCTGACCATTGAAGTGCCTGTGTTGTAGTCTGGCATGTAAGGAGTTAAGTGACTTAGCTCCGCGCTCAGCTTGTTTTCCCCGATTCTGGAGCATGAGCAATAGATCAGTTATTGGTCTGGTAATTGGAGCTTTATCACTCTCCAGATTCACACAAAGCACTAAGACTGCATCAATCTAATCCAGCAAATAAAATAAATTCTCCTCCAACAAGTTAATGTGGTGTAATTGAGTGGAAAGTATATATTTTCACTGGTTCTAGAGATGAGGAGTGACTTTTAATACAATCAGAGAAAAAGAAATGTAATTCTGTGAGCAATTTCAGAGATCAGCCTTCACCTTCCCCCAGGAGAGGCAGACAGCTTCACTCAGCAGAAAATACAGATTTCCACAGGATACATATCTTTATGCTACTGTATGTGAAGCTGTGTAGCAGTGAATGGGTTAAGTGTAGTGGGCTAGGTCTGCTGAGTGAAGCTGTCTGCCTCTCCTGGGGGAAGGTGAAGGCTGATCTCTGAAATTGCTCTCAGAATTACATTTCTTTTTCTCTGATTGTATTAAAAGTCACTCCTCTCTAGAACCAGTGAAAATCTATACTTTCCACTCAATTGCATCACATTAACTTGTTGGAGGAGAATTTATTTTATTTATTTTCAGGATTAGATTGATGCAGTCTTAGTGCTTTGTGTGAGTCTGGAGAGTGATAAAGCTCCAATTACCAGACCAATAACTGACCTATGATTACATACCTTGTGTAAAGGGAAATCCTAAAAGCAACCACCTTCCCAGAGGCTGTTCAAATTGTGCTTATGTCTCAGTCCTGGGACACTGACTAGTAGGAGGAAGGGGGGGGGGGGGGGGAAGAAGGACAGAAGGCTCTCGCAAGGCTCTACATGCAGCAGACACGGAGTCTTGGAGAGCAGAGCAGTCACCCTGAGCATTGCAAACACGGGGAAAGAAAGGGGGGGCAGAGGGATAGAAGGGAGAAACACATCGATCATTATCACACTCAGCATCAGGGCTGACAATAAGTCGGACTAGAGCTGCGCATATCTCCTGTAGTAAAGTGCATGGCTCCTCGAGGCTGATCATCTCCTTGACTACAGGAGGGCTGAATGTCAAAGAAAATCACTTGCATGGCGCCCGGAACTGCATATCCCGGGTGTCGGGCGATAGGATTTGCACATCCCTGTACATAGATCAAAATTAGGCTGATTAAGCAGGAACTGGCCAAATTTCAATTTCAATGGCCATTCCCACTTATGAAAAGTCGTAAAATTTCAATTTGATCAAGGCTGCACTTAACAGGCTGTGGCACTGATTAGTGTATTCTGACAGAGGAGGCAGTGACAGTCTCCCTGCTGATGTGTGGATGGGGGGAATCAGGTAAGTTTTTATTTTTTTTCATCTTCAGCCAGTAGGCGGAAAAAAAAAAAAAAAAAAACTGACCCATTTAAGTCACCCCAGTTCCCCTTGATATGCACAGTTCTGTCAGTCTGAAAGCCGCCATACACAAGTAAATTTTCTCTCAGCTGAATGAGAACATCGTTTCATTCCTCTCTCCAATCTAACCGCGTGGATGTAAGAAGCTCTGTTGCCAGATATTGAATTCAGGAGCCATGACACCCTTGACTAACAGTGACTGCATCTACAATACTTTCCACCTAGCTCAGTTGATTTAAAGAATTACTTTTGTTGAGCTGGGCGGTGCTTTAAGGGCCACCACTGGCTCAAATATTGGTCAATTTAGAGGAAGTGGTCTATGGGGACCTTGCTGACAGGAAGAAGAGGTAACAGATCACAGTGCTGACCTCATGAAAGGTAGTAAAGCTCATGCATTATCTAATCACTGCGCTGAGGCTATGCCAGTGACCAAGATGTACTGCAGCTCCTAATCGAGTGAAACACATTAGGGGTTTGAGCACTAGATGGAGTGGCCTGTTCACTGGATGGATCAAAAAATCAATTTGAGGCTTTTAATATGGTGAGTGGTTCCCTTTTTTTCCTGTTTGGAGTTCTTGCAGTGACTTTATGAGTGCAACAACTACAGGGAACCAGCTCCTGTGATCAGTGGTGGCTTGCAGATTAGTGCCTGCAGCGGAGTATCTAAATCATGTCTTCGACCAAGCTGCACTACCTAACTGAAGTAGAGAAGAGGTAGCTGACTGATTTGGCTATACTGTATATATTTGGGGTTTCTAACGCTACTTGTCTGAAATTCATCCTAGACATGTAGGATTAACAGTGCTTTCTCTATTACAATCTTTCTACCTGCACTGTTGTAAAAGAACTGCCATCTTGTCATAGTGAAAATAAGTTTACTGCACATATATAAATGGAACCTAAACAGCAAAACAAAAGGGCTATATTATTTATATTTCATATATTTCTATTTTAAACTGAATGGGTTGTTTTACAATGGAGGGTTCACATATACTTTAAGTACCACCAGAATTAATATATGCCCTACCTTTGGTTAGGGCCCAGTCCACAGCTGTAAGCATAGCTTTCTCCAGTGGATCTCCAACCAATGTCCCATCATCCATCTGTACAAGAGAGTGACATGTGGCCACCACTCGGTGAGTGTCAATGGGAATCTCAGAAATAGGAGTTACATCCTTTCCATCTCTACAAGAACATACACAAGAAAAAGCAAAGTACAAGAGCATCATTATAAATACCAGCTTTAACAAAAAAGTTCTTAGTGTGTTACTAAACCCAGGACCCTGCATTCACTATCTGGTCTCCCACAGTACACAGAACATGGAAATGCAATTAATTTAGTAAATATAAACTACTAAATACCTTTTCTCATCAGCAGTTAGAGCAATCTTGTTACTTCTATCAGTGTTCAGCAGAGCACTGGTTAAATCTAGTAGGCGGAGTTCTCTAGGAGATGCAGAACCCCTGACTTCTGTCTGGGCAGTGCTGATTGACCCTGTGCTGATCACATGCACTCTCCCAAGAAAAATAAATAAATAAAAAAAAACACCCTCTCTAGCAATACACCCCAAACTGAGCAAGAAGCGTCTCCACATGATATGTTTTATCAGGAGATAAAAGGGAGACACTGGAAGAAGGGGAGGATCAAAGAAGTCAGGTACAAACATCGTTTTTCCACAATGCAGAGGATTAACCCCTTCTACAGATCCACAGTGAGTATAACAAGCATGCTTTACTGCATATACAGACTGATTTTACTGTTGTTTAGTAACACTTTAATTGTCCTGTATGAAAAGATTTACATGTTTTATTAAAAAGAGTAAGAACTTACTTGAGGCCAGCCACTCCCCGTACTACTAGGCTATCACTGGTTAATGTACCAGTCTTGTCAAAGCAGCAAATCTCCACCTTGCCAGCAAATGGAATTCGGAAAGGCTCAGTACAGTATACATCTGAATGTCAAACAAAATCAGACAACATACATTTACTACAGGGTGACAAATGTTTTTGTTATTGTTATTTTTCTCATTTGATCATTCTAGACATCAAAATTAAAAAAATACATTTACATTATAGGTACTTATTTCAACAATAAAACTTGCATGTAAGACAACTTCCGCTTGCGATCGCAGCATAAGTGGGAGCGGGTACCTGTCAAATTCAGGTACCCGCTCCCCAAAAGTGCCAATCCTTAATGGGGAGCGGGGAACAAAGGCTTAAAGACTTTTGGGTGGAGCTCCGCTTTAAGTCAAGTTTCAGCTTCTTAGCTGTAGTATGTATTTTTGTGTAACAGTAGCCAAGGTTTAGGGTTCAAACAAATTTGACATTGTGTGAAGGAGGGGGCCACTATTGCTTTCTATTAGATGGATACAAAATTGTATTCCACTGCTTTACATTACCAGTAAAATCATTTGCTTAATGCTTCAGCTTTTTACTTTACCTTTACTACACAAGCAACATATTAAATCTTGTTCAATAATATAAAAAGTGTATTTTATTGTTTTACAGCAGCAGTTCTGAAGTCAGATAATGTTGCAGGGAACAGTAGAGAGGAGAGGCTAAACAAGCATTTGTGTGATATTGCATCTATATGAAGTATACCAAATGCTCCATATGTATTCAAACAGGGACATGGATATATGAAGATCTCTGTGCACTGTACAATCACACAGCAATTTACTCACAGAGTTTGGCCAGAGCAATCAGCGAGGTGTTCACTGCCAGGGAAAGCTCAATAGGCAGCTCAGGGGGCACAACCGAGGTCAAGATCAGGGTGCATTCCAAAAATAGCTTGTACCGGTTTCTACTAAGATCTTTGGTACCTGAAAGTAGAAATCATGATTAAGAGCAAATGTAACACTACATATTAACCACAAAAAAGTACACCGTAAAATTTCTAAATATTCACAGGCTAATTTATTGTTCTATTATAAATTTCATAGGTGTCATTTTTGCTGTTAGAATTTATAAATTTCTATCATTTATAAATTATAGAATATGTTAAAAACTTTATTAATATGTGTTAATCTTGTCACAAATGCTGTATCATTGTAACTTCCTGTGACCCTAAAAGAAAGCATTAGGGACCTTCTCTTGGGAGTATAGGGCTTGCGACAGAAGACCTTGCTTTTGAGGTTGATTGCTTGGGGACAGCAAAAAGGTATCTTTCGCAGAGATGAGGTAGTAGCCATAGGAGTCAGAGACCACGGCTCTCTGCTACAGGAAGGAGTACTTTTCCTTTACCCCCAATGAATCTCGATGAAGTAAAAAAAAAAAAATAATTATTATTGGCGAGGCAAGAAGCGCTTGGGTATAACTTACATTTTTTTACACTTAACTAAAGAAAAAATTGTTTAACTAAACTTTTTCTTCCAACAAAGGAGGACAAAAAAAAGAGTCTTTGGTGAATTTTGTGGTGACAGATTCTCTTTGATGAGTCATCAGTGGCATAAAAGATCTCCAATATCTCACCTGTCCTCCAATGAAACTAATAGAGTGCAGAGAGCTGGGGTGTGCGGAAGCAACTGGCAGCTGCAAAGCAATGTGTGTAAAACTCCTTGAAGCCTTAAACTTTATAGAAGTTTAAATAGTTCCAAACACACTCTTTACTTCAGTAACAGATGGAGAGGCTCTGTGCGCTGTATAGCATCTTGCAGCTAACTACTACATGCCAAGGTGAGTGCATGACAAAGGATCCAGTGCCCGAAGCTAACATTACAGGCCAGCACCAAATACTGGGGTCTGGATATGGTCCCCAAGGTGCACACTCAGGACCCAAAAACTGCTAGACAGTCCAGGGAATTTAGCAGTCACATGTTAGAAGGTTCTGAGAAAAAATAAAATTAATGGTTTAAAAAGAAAAAAGGTCATCAAAAGGAGACTAGCAAAAAAATGAAGTCTCCCAAAGTGGGCAGGGTTATACAAGTACACTCTAGGGGCAGCATTAGCCCCAGCCCTTTTTTGCCAGTGTCCAACCAAATGAAGGCAGCCTGCATATAACCCATGGTCTGTGGATACAAGTCCTGTGTCCTGTACATTTAAGATATTACATTTTTAGCACTCACCTTCTATCCAGACATAAGCAGCGGCAGCGATGGCAAACACCAGGAGGAAGAGGATGAAAATAAAAGTTTCCAAGTTGTTGGCAGTGACACGTTTGACCCCAAACAGGATTGTACGCAGGAGCTTACCCTGTTAAAAACAAAAATGACATTACCAAACAGTAACAAAAAAGCAATGAAACAACTGAAGAGAATAACCATGCTGTACCGTCATGTGTTGAATGTTGTGATGAGGTAAAAGTAGTGGAAACAAAAAAATTTTGATACACCCTCAATCTGTTCTACAGAAATGTCCATACGTTCGTTAAAAAAAAAAAAAAAAGACATATATATTTGTACAGTATATATTGCAGCGTTCACAGGTAGCTAAGAACCGCCTTTGCTATGGCAGTATACAAACTGGACTATTAACTGTGGCCAGAACTCTGCAGAAACACAAACTGTGAATGCACATCATCTGCGTCTGCGAGAGATTAATTTGCAGGCAACCGCTCTGAGTGGTTAAATGTTCACAGTGGCAGTGCCAGCCATAGGTTAGTACAGAGTATAATATGATAGCCACCTCTGACAGCTGCAGCTGTGCGCACAAAGACTGCGCAGGTAAGATTTACAACTGCCCCTTGCAGCTGCTATTTGGCCGTCCAAACGAAGACTAATGCAGCTTTTTGTTTACTTTATGAAGATTGTGCATCACATGTAACTGGATTCAGTACTTGTTTAAACTCATACAGGAGCATTTAGCTGTACTTTAATAAAATACATATTTAGTCAGGTAAAATTAATATACTATGCTATATACACTGATCAGTCATAACATTATGACCACATGCTAATATTTTGTAAGTCCCTTTGTTTTCACCAAAGCATGGACTCCACTAGACAAGACATCACACTGCCTTCCCCAGCTTACGCTCTGCAAATAGTGCAACCTGGTACCATCTCTTCCCCAGGTAAGCGACACACACACCCGCCCCCATCCACAAGATGTAAAAAAGAAAAATGTGATTCATCAGACCAGACCATCTTTTTACATTGGTCTGTGGTCCAATTCTGATGCTCACATGCCCATTTCAGGCACTTCTGGCTGTGAACACAAGTTAGCATGGGCACCCTGACTGCAGTCATGCAGCCTCATGCACAACAAACAGCAATGCTCTGTGTCTTCTGACACCTATCAGAACCAGCATTACCTTTCTCAGCAATCTGAGCGCAGTGTCACTTCTATTGTATCAGCGTACACAGGCCAGTCTTTGCTCCCCACATGCATCAAAGAGCCTAAGCCGCCAATGACCCTTACACTGGATTTCCTTCTTTGGACCGCTTTCTGTAGATCCTGACCACTGCAGACAAGGAGTATCCCACAAGAGCTGCAGTTTTGGAGATGTTCTGACCCAGTCTAGCCATTTCAGATTGGCTCTTGTCAGAGTAGAACAAATCCTTACGCTTGTCCATTTTTTCTGCTTTCAACATATCAACTTCATGGACATGTTCACTTACTGCCTAATATATCCCATCCATTTTCAGATGTCATTGTAACGAGATAATCAATTTTATTCACTGTATCCGTCAGTGGTCATAATGTTTTGGGTGATCAGTGTACATCCTTACCTCATGCTCAAACAAAACAAAAACACCTTTTTGCAGAGCTAATTCATTCCCATCTCTCTGCACCATCCTGTGTCATGTTTTAAATGTTTATTTGATCCTCACCTGGGAAGTGTTAAATCCAGTTCTTAAGACATAGGCCACACACCCATTATCAAGAGCTAAGAAGACAGAAAAGAAAACATTAAAGTATCAGTATACACTGTCAATAAAAGCTATATTACATTGTGTTCAAACTAACCTTGCCTCTGAAGCATTCTTCCGTAGATTGACAAAAACCTGGTTGATCCTACTGTTCACTGTCCTTCCTTCCTTGTCTGTGTCCCCACTGCAGCCTGAGATTGTGTAGACCAACCTTTGCCACATCCACCAAGCATGCTACAGTAATCATTTCCCTTCTAAGTTGTTCATTTCCTCCTTTTATTATCTGTGCATCCCACATAACTATAGAGTCACTAATGTGGGCGTATAAACAGTTGTAAATTACAGTTTCTTCCCTCCTCCATATTGCTAAACACTATAGAGACGGGATGTAAGATGGTGATTGATGGAGGCTTCATCTCCGGTTAGTACAGCACATGGACACAGGCAGGAGGGCTGTGATTGACAAAACCTCCTCCAGATATCTTTACAGTGTAAACAGTGAATGCTATTGTCAATTTACACTCTACCTACATGAGGTCATTACAAAAAAATTATAAACATTTGCTATAAAATATAATTTTTAGTATCCTTTAAAATACTTTGTAGCTATTAACTTTTGATTCTCTATATTGAAAGCCGACAGCACCAATCAGACACAGATTCATAGTCCTGACATCCTCTGCTGCTATAGAGCGTAGATCAGCAGAGTACTATAAAGTTTTTCATCAGATCTTTCAGCAAAGGAGTACAGGAGGCACCTGGACAGTAGCACTATTAATCTGGGGGTGGGTAATATTAGATGGACTAGCAGATTTAGATACACTAACAAGTTGAAACCAAACTCAAGCTCACACTTTACAAGTAGGTATGGCAAGAGTTTTTTTTTTTTCCTTTTGGGATAAAGGCTTTACATAAATAAAAAGCTGATCATTGTAAGTGATTTATCTCAACCCTTTAACTGCTACATCTGCAGGAAAGCTTTTTTGTTGGATCACCAGATGAAAATAAAAGAAAGACAGCCTAAAAAAAAAACAAAAAACAAATGCAGCCATCACATCTAAGAACTGGTAAGCTGCATATATAATAAATGTTTTCTTGTGGGTTTAATACCACTTTAATGCTGAACTTTGGGCAATAAAATGTGTATTAATGAATGGAAAACTAGGTTTAATCTAAAATAGGCTCCTTCACAAACCAAAGATGGCTCCTACTCAAATGTGTCATTCCCTCGGCTAGTGGTAAAAAGCAGTACTTACGTTTAAGGCCTGTAGTCGCCTTCTGAGGAGGAGTGTGTTGTACCACCTTGGTGCCACCAAAAATGACGTGCAGTTTGGAGTCAGAGTTTAAATCAAGGACATGATCTGGATCCAAATCCTCAATGGGCTCCTGCAGAGATCCACACACTGCCATTATTATTACATGTATATGTTAGTACATTATACTTTTGAAAAGCCTTACTCCAGGCAAAACTATTCTGTTTTCATAAAGTGGGGAAAGTCAAAAAGCACATTCATTCACTGTTGTGGCCCCGTTGGGAAGATTTCCTCACACAGGGGTCAGGGGAACTGAAAGTAAGAGGAAACCTGCAAGAGGTTCTAACCCTCCAATATAGGCTAAATAAAAGTAGGCTGGAGTTGTGCTTTAGTTGATTAATTGGCTTCCCAAGATAATCTAAAGTGAAATCCTTTTTTTGTAGAGGTTTCCACTCTGGTTTGTGTCACCAGAATAGGAAGTGAGGGAGAATTCTTCCCACGAAGGACACAAACAGTAATATAAGCCTAATGGAGGTTCTAAGTAACCTCTATTTCCATAGCCAAACCTAAAAATGGTTTGGGTTTTACTTTTATATAAACACAATCCCAAACGGTTACATACTCTTGGGACCTAAAAAACAAAATGTATTTGTTTAAAGAGTTCGGAGGGGGATGTACCAATAACAGAAAAGCACCCTACTTACATCTGAGTGCAGCACTTGAAGAAAAAAAAAAAAAAAATTGTATTTCAGTGTTCAGCATCAAAGAAATAATCGAATCCTCACCTTCATTTGAGGGACAGACTCTCCAGTCAGCATAGCTTCATCCACAATACATCGCCCTCGGAGCAGCAGAACATCACAAGGAACCAAATTCTCATTGGCTGACCTTCCTGAAAAAATAAATTGCACACCATCCATGGCACCATGTTTAGTTGACAAATTTTAAAGGCTTTTTTGAGCAATATCTAAATCAAATATTTACACAACTTCATAACTTGGGTAACTGTTGCTGTGTCCGGCAGGCACGGTATAAGCCATTTTGTGACAAAAGGTCACTGATGCCTAGGCTAAATTATGTAGTGTTCATTAAGGACCCGCTCACGCCATAGCACTGCACACACTGAGCACACATAGTATGTTATTAGTGTTGGTGCGTTGCTATTCATTCTGAATGGCACCCCAGCACACCTTTCCAATGCGAGTACATTGCTGCGCAACGCCAAAAAACTGTCTTATCTAAGGATAGTGATCATATGAAGCCATAGTTGTTTGACTCTTTTTATTCATAACAGAAATCACGCAAATACCCCGGATCAAATGTTTACATACATACATACATGGAATGTCTGGCCTTGGTACAGACACACATACAGGTTTAAAATGGCAATTTAAAGTAATAGCCTTCATCTGTGGCTTTTTAAACTTTGTGACAGCAAGAAACCATGTTATAGCTCTTCTGTTAAGGCATCATGTTCCAGTGCACCCAGAGATGTCTGCAGTACATAAAACATGGGCTGCCTGCCTTTGTCAATAACCTTTCCCTCAGCCCCAAGTGGTGTTTAGCATGTGGATAGCAAGCCTATGCAGTGACTATGGAAGCATTAATTTGTATATACTGTTCGAAGGCTCAGAGGTCACTCTTGAAGATTGGCCAGTAAAATAGTAGGAATGTACTGGCATTATTATTAATACTGCTTTAAACCATGTTCAAACATTACAAATTTGCTACTCGCATATCTGGCTAATCCATATCTGTAATAACACCCCCTTACCCTGCCAAAAAGGTTTTGCAATACTGCTCTGCGAAGTGAGAGGGAGCTCAGATTCCTTCATAAATAAAATTCAACTGCTCTGGCAAGGCGCCCAATTTATATGAATCCTTCATTTACATACCCAGACGGCTGTTGGTTATTTATGAAAGCTTACCTATAGACACAATGTCTCCTGGGATGATTTCATCACTAGAGATTGGCCTCCATTTCCGATTTCTGTACACCTTAGAAACCGATAAATATGTTGAACGTGAAGCATAATTTACTGACATGATAAAATTATGAAGACACCACAAACTTTTTAATGGTCAATGATAGTTTGCAAAACAATTACAAAATGATAAAAGCTAAACATGGTTTAATCAATGTCCGTCTGATGGCATAAATGCTGGAATCCAGCAATCCCAATTTCCAGTTTGTAGACTAGAATTTCCATGCTGGAATGAAGACCTAGGGTTGACTTCAGTCTTAAAGGAACAGAAGACATGCAGGAAAACAATGAGTGAAAGGAGGTTCAGGCAATAGGAACATATGAGAGTTCCAGAATACAAAAAAGTACACTCTGGATGGATAAGCAAGGTATGGCACTGTCAGGAGGAAACCAGGCAGGCCAATGAGAAGAAAAACAAGAGATCATCAGACCTGGTTCTTATCAGCTGGCAAGGGCTCCAGAATATGTGAGCATAGTCCTTCTCTCGTAAGGAAGAGAGAATTTGAGTAATATCTCCAGGCAAATAAAGAAGCAGTTTCATTCTTCTCCAATAAGCATTGGGGGAACTGCTTCAAATAAAGTATGCAGACAGCTGGGTTCACTGTGTCTCCCTAGACCAAAAACTAAAAGTTGAATTGTCTAGGTTCCTGGCTGCAGTTATATGGCCATAGAGTGAGGCAACATAAAGTGTATCTATGGTCAAAATGTATTATAATTAATTTCCACCTTGAACTCATTAGTGGTAGTAAACTTTATGTATACTTTTACCTTCAGGTAAAATTATAATAAAGCTTACTTGTAGGTAAAATTAATTTCTCCTAAACGTGCACCATAGATATTCGCTCTCTTTGAGAGCTGACGCATGCGGTCTGAAGGAACGGCATAGATGGCCAGAGCTCGCGATCCTGGAAAGAAGACCCAGTGAAGATGAAAGCCTCTGCAGCGGTGACAGCACGCCACTGGAGGGCTTTTTTTTTTTTTTTAAGGCAAGTCCTTCATAATGATGCATTATGACAATACCTTGCAGGGTGAACTTGGTGTTTGACAAATTACTTTGTGACGATCCCTACATATTTATATTTCTTGAATTCTGAGACATTTACTTTGTCTAGTGAATATGCGCTGCTGTGTTATCCATTTCAGAGCCTGCTTTCTGAACAAAGGTGTGTTCAGAAAGTTGTGGAAGATGGAAAGCAGACATGCACCGCTCAAATGAAAGAAGATTTTCCAAGTAAGCTTCCATAGGATTGTCAATAATAACTGTTTGTATTGCTATTATAATACTAATAGTATAAAATTACAATGTATGCTGTGACTTTAAATCTCATTTAAGAGATATCACCGCCTGAGATCTGCTGCATCTAACTGTAAACCGTCTTTTATATGTAACAAGCAATAATAAATGTACACAGAGTTGCAAGCAAATTAGACTATTTTCAAATACAACATACTTAAATTACATGGGCATGTTTATTTAAAAAAATAAATAAAAATCATAGTTTTCTGTTAAGCAATAAAAATAAAATTTAAAATGGAAAAGCCAACATCTATTGCTTTAAAAACACTATTTTAAAAACCACAAGGGCAGGTTGATGAATGCAGGTGTGTCAAATCTCAGCACAAAATAATGAGAGAGATCTTCCTTTAGCCCAAAAGTGTAACTAAAGCCAAAACTATTTTTTTTCTTTAAAGATCAACGCTGGGCAAAAAAAAAAAAAAGTTTCCCGTTGCAGTGGGATTGTACCCACACTGCAAGGGTTAACTGTTCATTTTTGTCTAGGTGCGGAATGATGACATGAGGATACCAGAACAGTCCACCGTGCGGGCTCAGCTCCACTGCAAGGGAAAAATTTATTTTGCAAGGAGTTGGGCTTTAAGTTTTGGATAGAGTGGCAACTCCTGTCAGGTTTCTGTTCCAGTTATGGAGATGATTTAGTCTATATGTCCTGAAGACCATTGTTACAAAGACTGAAAATGTGAGAAAATGTTAAATTGAGTTGTCACCAAACCAGGATCGATTTGTAATCTTCCAATGGAGATGCTTGTTTCTATAACACCTAAGAGGGGATTTACACTCACCGGCCACTTTATTAGGTACATCTGTTCAATTGCTTGGTAACACAAATTGCTGGTCAGCCAATCACATGGCAGCAAATCAATGCATCTAGCTGTGCTGAAAACAACTTGCTGAAGTTCAAATCGAGCATCAGAATAGGGAAGAAAGAGGATTTAAGTGACTTTAAACATTGCATGGTTGTTGGTGCCAGACAGGCTGGTATGAGTATTTCAAAAACTGCTGATCTACTGGAATTTTCATGCACAACCATCCATAGGGTTTAAAGAGAATGGTCCGAAGAAAAAAAAAAATCCAGTAAGCAGCAGTTGTGTGGAGGAAAATGCCTTGTTGAGGTCAGAGGAGAATGGGCAGACTGGTTCAAGATGACAGAAAAGCAACAGTAACTGAAATAACTACTTGTTACAACCAAGGAATGCAGAATACTATCTCTGAACGCACAACACGTCGAACCTTGAAGTAGATGGGCTACAGCAGCAGAAGACCACACTGTGTGTCAGTGTACCCATCTTCTGATGGCTACTTCCAGCAGGATAATGCATCATGTCACAAAAGCTCAAATCAACAAACTGGTTTCTTGAACATGACAATGTGTTCACTGTACTCCAATGGCCTCCGCAATCACCAGGTCTCAATCCAATATAACACCTTTGGGATGTGGTGGAAAGAGAGATTCACATGAACAAAGCTGACAAATCTGCAGCAACTGCATAAAGCTATTATGTAAATGTGTACCAAAATCTCTGTGGAATGTTAACACCACCTTGAGAATCTATGCCATGAAGAATGAAGGCAGTTCTGAAGGCAAAAGGGGGTCCAACCGGGTACTAGCAAGGTGTACCTAATAAAGTGGCCGGTGAGTGTACTCTGGAGAGAATTACTTACAATTGTGTCTATGGGACAAGAAGTGAAGGTATATCAATTGAATGAAACAGGAAAAAAAAAAAAAAAAAAATGACAGAAGTTTTAACTATTCACTAAAGAAAAAAATATTTGGCATATACTGTAGTTTAAACTCATTAGAAGGTAGTCTAAAAGTCAACTTATCACATGCATACAGCACAACCTTGTTATAGGTTTGTATAGACGGATAAACTATTTTACCATAATTATGTGTCTGTTATATTAAAATAAACCATTTTTGTTGTCTGCCTGGCCCCCATGCAGCAGTATGTACACACCTTCCTTCATTCACTCCGTTCAGCCATTGGGTGAATTCCCCTGGCACAGGTGAGCAGGGGACGCTTACTGCTTTCCCATGTGACAGCACTAAGTGCTTCCTTGGGGTTTTCTTACCCAAATGCAAGCAGCCAAACAGACAGGCGGCACAGGAGCATGGAAGGGAGAGTGTATGCTGCTGGGAAAGGAGAGGCTTGTAGCTAAGTAACCTTTTCTATTTGACTTTTATGGAAAAGCTGTCATCTTTCTTACCCAGGGCAAAGTGAAATGTGTGTAAGTCCCACCTCTGATCACATCATAACCTCTCCTATGCTCCTCTGCCTCTCCATCCTCCGCGGCTGCCACTGAAAAATACTTGGCTCTTCTGGGTAAGGAAATATGTGACCTCCTCCCATGAAGCAGTTCCCCAGACCCAAGCCCCATCAATATACACATGATGGAGAGGCTGTCTTTACCTCTGAGTTTTGACACCAGGTGACATTGGGTATTTTGGAGAGGTGAGAAGAGGAATGTAGAGTTGGCTTTGCACCAGTTCAGAACTAATTGACAATATGTGTAAGTTGACATCATCTGAGCAGCAAGTAAATGACAATACAATGAAAATAAAGATACTAGGAGACCAGGAAATGTTTCAGGCCTCTCCTCACCTGAATCATATAAGGCTTGTTACCCATCTTCCTGATCTCAGACAGGTTCCTCATCTGTTGCTGGACCAGAGAGGCCTCAAATGCCACCAACATAAAGAGGGTGAAGACGCTGTAGTACCAATATTCATCTAGGCACCAGAGGCCCACACAAAACACCTGCCAACAAATACAGACAATGAGCACACAGATTTGAACATTCAGGATCAAGGGCAGGCAAATCTTTTCCTGAACCTCCACTCCTGCAACAAAAATCTGCCACGTTTTCTATTCTGTAGCACAAAAGACCTGAATGTTAAAGGATAAGTGAACTTATCCTTTTTGCCCATTTTCACTGATTTAACTAACCCATTCTTACCATCCACAGATGCGTACTTCCCTATAGCCAATAATATTGTCCTCTGGTGACTGCTCACAACCTGACTGCGCCTGCGCATTACATCCCCATAGACTTCTATGAAGATGGCTCCCACCATCTCACTTCATTCCTAGCCTCAGGACACAGCATCATGTCCATGGGGCTGTACAACAGAAGCGTGTAAAGGACGGTGAAATTTGGATGGAAACAAAGGAAGATTATCGTATATCGGTATTAAAAAAACGAAATCTGTGATGAGCCCAGTACATACTCATTTACTGTTTAACATCTCTGTAGCAATTCAACTAAAACAGGACCCAACTATAGTAAGAAGAAAAAAATAAAAATAAGCATATGCTAATTTGAGGCTAGATAAATTAACTTGATGCATACTCAGGTTTTATATTTACATGAAAATTTAGATTTGAAAATTATGCATGTTTATGCTGCTCAAAAAAAATTTATTGCACTAAAAATAGAGTTAATAAACATTTATTTTGTGAATTGTAGTTCAAAGTATGGACTTCCATATTTTCAACGTATGGTGTTTGCTTTCAGAAGATATGTTCTTGAGGTCTTTTATATATTTTCAAATCTGAAATTTGGTCTTAAAGTGAAAAGGTAAACGGCGAGCCATTTTTCTAAAGGGCTCATTTACACCACCTTGCTGCATTGACATGGGTAATATTGTGAATGACACCCCCAGAATGCAGCTGTGTTACAACGCAGCCAATTTATTTGAAATGGGCTGCCTAACACAACGTGCCTCAATGCTAAAAACACATTCTGGTGTGAACAGGCCCTAAAACTAAAGTATATAGATATTACATTTCTTATAATAAATAAATCACTGGCAATGCACTAGGTGTTTGTGCCTTTCCGTTCTTTTTGTAGTTCTTTTTGACAATACATGTAACATAGTACCCAACAGCTTTGTTAAGTTGGGCCCAATATTGTAACATAGTATTAAAAAAGCCTGCAAAACCTTTGTTTAACTCCAACGTTTTCTTATGTATGAATATATTATGACAGGTCCAATTATGGCACAAATAATTGTCAGACATGTAGGACAGGGCTTGACAAGATTAATAAATTTGCTTTGAATCTAAAAGCCAGCTATAAAGTTAGGGGTCAGGTTTTTTTTCTAGCGTAGCGTGGGTCGTCAGTGCCTGGGGCAAGGCAACTTTTGGGCGACAAGCTTCACACGATGTGATTTGCGCCCAACAATCACAGCAAAACCGCACCACGCTTTAGGTGCCACTGAAAACAATGGCACCTGAACCTGGGTTTTGTGATCACAGCAATTCTGCCTTGATCGCAAAATGCCCAGGTGTGAATAGAGCTGCCCTGGCTCACACAAATGTGATTCTGGATGCGTTTTCAAACTCACAGATACGCATGACAGGCTACACATGTGTTCCTATTGAGGTGGTTCACAGAGATGTGATTCCCACGCATTGCGTTTTGAGTGCCATTACGAAAAGGGTCCTGTGCAAGTTTGTAGTGGTGCGTTCCAGACTCACAAATGAGAGTATAGTGGCATACAGATATAAATGTCCAGATAGGATTGTTACTGACAGGAGTTTTTGCATTGAAGTCAAAGGGAGGCAGTGTGTGTGAGCCCAGGCAGCAGGAAGCAATTTCTAGTCGCCATGGTGACCTGGTGCCTGGGATTTGTCGAGCCCTGATGAAGGATATTATAAAACTCGTACCTGAAACACAAAGAACGGTGCAATGGCTCTCTCTTTAAACAGATGAAGAAAATCGGGAACAACCATCTCTGCTCTAAGGACAAAAACAAAAAAAGTTTCAAGTTGGTAGCACATTACTGGATTAACTGAAACAAAAATATTACTTTTCGTATAGTGCTGGAAGCATACGTAAAGACAAAACAGTGGTGCTCCTGGCCCCTCCCTCTCGGCTCTGCCCTCTCTCTTCCCATTGGCTTACTGGCTGTGATTGACAGCAGTGGGAGCCAATGGCTCTCATTGCTGTCTCAGCCAATGAGGAAAGGGAGTCCCGGGATAGCCGAGACACCAGTGAACATCACTGGATCGAGAGGGGGCTTAGGTAAGTATTAGGGGGGCTGAGGGAGATGCTGCACACAGAAGGTTTTTAACCTTCATGCATAGAAGGGGACACCTTTTCCATTGACAACAGGAGATTTTCTCATATTTTACTCCATGTCTTGCTGTGTTCCAGGACACAGAAACCAAAAGTAACCTTTACAGACATTTTAACCATGTTCTAAAAAAATAAATAAAAAAATTAAAAAGTTTACAACTATACTTTTTCCTAAAGGACCTATTTAGACATTACTAAAAAAACCATTTTAATACTGCAACCTTCATAAAACATTTCCTTTTCATCAGTCATTTATATTTGCCTTAGATTGGTTATTCCTGACATGCAACGAAAAGCTAAAACAGTAGAGCAATCTCAACATTGCAAGGCGTAACAGCAATTTCAATGCTATGTACCTAAACTTTTCCATTATAATCTGAAAGACTGTAAAACAAGCACATAGCTATCAAGTCTTTTAAGTCCCACAGTGACACCCCAACAAAAGTTTCAAATTAACAATATTAGTGGACAGGAAGGTCATGTGAGGGTGTTTGTGGAAGCCCATTTGAACTTGCACTCTATAGACAACACAAAGGAAATGTGTATGTGGACACGCTCTGTATTAACATGCAGAGCCCTAGACCAACATATCTCAGGCCAGCTTCAAAGAATGCAGACAGGAAGGAAAATACAAAACGGTTTTCCTGGCTGCTGCCCCTAATTAAGCATAATGCCCAAGAAACAAGCTCAAGTACCAAGTCAGGTCTTACTTGTTAGTTCCATATTTCTTCTCAGCAACTTTGATATCAGCTTCTTCTAGGTATCCTTTAGAACTCTGGTAATAGGACAGGGGACGCTCCAACGGAAACACAACAGGAAAGAAACCTTTCTTCTCCTCAGCATCATAGGAATATTTTATTTTTTGGAACTCAAATGACAGGGTCTCCTTCCCATCTTCACTCTGTGGAAACAAAAGTGCAAATAAAAATTCTAAATAAAGAAAAAGAATCTGAGGCAATATTTTACAAAAATAATTTATGGGTTGTCTGGATTCTCAATCAAAAATCAAGACAGCATCAACACTCCAGGACTGAACTAGACAAATCAGCCGCTACGAGCCATGAAGAGGGATCACTTCCTGCACCCCACACCCACCACACATATGCTCTTGCCATGAGACCAGCAGCCTCTGTATAGCACAGTGCGCGCCAAACACAACTCTTGTGTTGATCCAATGTGTCATAAAGCAGAGATATCAACAAAACTGATACCTTGCCTTTAAGCAGTAGTCCCCTTTACCACAAGATGCACTTTCCACAATCTGGATCTGTCCCTGACACGTATACCAAAAATCTTTTCAGTTTTCTTTCAGTTTTAAACCGTAGGGAAGGGGTAAATCTTTCATGTTATTTTCTGCCACCTGTGTCCCAGAGATCTCCTGTACCAGGGATAGAACAGGGAATGAAAAGAAATCTTCACAAAGGGAGGGGAATGTCTCTGAAACAGCAGTCACTGGAATAGGTATTCATACTAAAAATATATCCTTGTCTCTTAAAGTGTTACTTAAGGCAGATTTTTTTGTTTTTAAACAAACATGTTATACTACTCACCTGCTCTGTGCAGTGGTATTGCACAGAGCAGCACCGATCCCCCTCTTCAAGGGTCCCCTGCCAGCAATCCCGGTGCCTCCTCTTTGTGTGTCCCCATAGCAAGCTGTGGGGACACATGCTGTATGCTCCCTCCCGACCTACCTGTGTGTCTACAGAGGTGCTCTATTGACACACACACCACAGTGGGACTTAGGACCCCCAACCCCCCCCCCACACACACACTTGCTTTTCAGTGCATTTGATTGACGGCAGCAAGAGCCAATAGCTCCTGCTGCTTTTCAAGACCTGTGGTGAAGTGGAAGCGAGGGGAGAAGAGATGCAGCTGTGCACAGCACTGGTCTCTTCTCCTCTCTCTTCTCCTTCACACTCCTTCACACAGGGAAGGGGGAGCACAGGGAAACTAAAAACATTTTTACCTTAATCCAAGCAATGCATTAAAAGGTAAAAAAGGTAAAAAAAGAACAAAAAGGATTGGCTATGCATACATTTTACATTTAGTTCCATATATATCTTTGCAGGGGAAACATCAGCTATAAAGCATTACTCATCCTTTTCTGTGTCTTATGAGAGAGCTGCTATGACACCATACAGGAGGACACTGCACTGCATATGGACAGAACAGATATTATTCACATTATTAGAACAAACAAACAAGGTTAACATCTTCCCAATTTACTATAGCAAACAAAATATCCCTTAGCCTTGGTTCACACTGATGTGAATTATCATGTGATTATCATGTGATTTGACTGTTCAAATCGCATGCAATAATCGGCAATGGAACTGTTCTAATTGGAGCAACTCTGAAGAAGATGCACCAATTAGAAAAGTAGATCCTGCACTACTTTTCCCAACTTGCAACTTGCATGATGTTTCAGATTTATATCAAGTCGCACTGCCATCTGACTTTGAAATTGTGTGACTACACTTGAAGTCACATGATTTCAAAGTCGGATCCAATGTTAAGCAGGGCTTAGGCCTGGTTCACACCAAATGCGGTTTTGAAATTGCACTACTTCAGCTGAAGTAGTGCAATTTCAAAGTCACAGGTCAAAGCAATTTCATGTTCGGCTTGGGACATCTTTGTGACTTCATGCACAGATGTCATTGCAAGTCGAACATAAAATAACCAAAAATAGCGCAGGAATCTTCAGGATCCTGAAGAAGCCACGTGATCGTGGCGCAATGTGTTGACACATTTCCGGTTGAGCGGTGACGTACTTCCGGTTCTGGGTTTGGATGCCATTTTGGTACACCTATTCCTTAGTACAGTGTTTTTTTCAACCTTTTTTGTGCAAAGGCACACTTTTTTCATGAAAAAAATCACGAGGCACACCACCATTAGAAAATGTTAAAAAAATTTACCTCTGTGCCTATATATAAAGTAATTCTCTTGAATAGGAATCAAACACAAAGAAATTATTTTATTATGAAATAATAAAGTATTTTATAATTGGACCCGGGGGCCGGACCAAGAGTAGATGAATGATGTGTATGTGTCATCCATAGTAAGTATAGTAATATTCCCCCATAGTAAGCATAGTAATTAATCCCCCATAGTAATTAATCCCCCATATAGTAATTCATCCCCCCATATAGTAATTCATCCCCCCATATAGTAATTCATACCCCCATATAGTAATTCATCCCCCCCTATAGTAATTCATCCCCCCCTATAGTAATTCATCCCCCCCAATAGTAATTCATCCCCCATATAGTAATTCATCCCCCATATAGTAATTCATCCCCCATATAGTAATTCATCCCCCATATAGTAATTCATCCCCCATATAGTAATTCATCCCCCATATAGTAATTCATCCCCCATATAGTAATTCGTCCCCCACAGTAATTCGTCCCCCACAGTAATTCGTCCCCCAGGCCCCCCTGTGTCAATTCACTTACCTTTGCTCCGCGCGTTCCTCTCGCCGTTCCGGTGTAGCATGAAAATCTGTCTCCTATGAGGATCTGTCCCCCTCGACGTATCTGCGCATGTGCCAGTTTCAGGCATTAGCAGCCGATCGGCGATCTCCGGCACATGCGCAGATACGTCGAGGGGGACAGATCATCCTGACAGTATCACGCTCCGCGGGCCGGATTAAAAGGTCCGCCAGGCCGTATACGGCCCGCGGGCCGTAGTTTGCCAATTGCTGTTCTAATGATTGGTCTATTTGTGAGCCGAGGCCACATGTTACGGATGAAATTGCAATTTTTCCCACGGCACACCAGACAATATCTCACGGCACACTAGTGTGCCGCGGCACAGTGGTTGAAAAACGCTTCCTTAGTACACCCCTATCACATGGGAAATTGTGTCTCTGTACTGGAAAAACATGTGAGAGTTCATTTTTTTGGAGTTTTAAGTGCATTAAAACGGTGTTGCACTATGGAGGTCTGTTTTTTTCTCAATATATATGCCCTGTATATATGAGTCCATATTGCGAGGGAGTGGTCTGAGAGGAATCCATTACTTGGAGGGGGACCTCAGTGGAATTAATAAAGCCAAGTTGAGATCCTTTATACATAAAGCTCTGTGACCCACAAGGGTCGAGTTTGGAAGGTGGAGGCATTTTGGCTAATCCGGGGGAGTCACATCAGAGTGTCACTAGGAGCACGTTTGCAGCATGGAATGAAGTTGTGAATCACTGTGTACTGAACACTTATTATTTGCAGTGTTTGGCATCACATGTATTTTGGACTGTTTTTTATTTATTTATTTAATTTGCTACACCTGTCACTTTGAACACAACAAGTGTTATCACTTCATCAAATATTTCACTTGTTTTGGTTAGCCACTAGGTAGCCCAATAGGAGTGTGATTTGGCACAATATATTATCTCAATGGATTAGTAGTGTATTTTGTACATTTTATACTTATTTGAGCACGAATATATTGTTGTAATCACGGTATTCATCATTAATTTATAGGGGATTGAATGTATTAATTATAATTGTTTTTTATACACAATATAAGCTGAGCGCTTCATCACAATATGTTTTGTTATTTGCACATATCCTATGGTATAGTAAAAACGTGACAGCAGCTGGCTTTGGTTAGGGATTCCGTGGAGCGCAGGAGGGTCTCTGTATACAAATAGAGTGCAACTTGTCAAATTGCATTGGAGTGAACGGGGGGCTAAGATACAAATTACTACCTGCACTATGCTTTATATGGCAAATATTGTTTGCAAAGGTTTTGTTGTCTTGTAAACTTAGCCACCACTGCATTTCCCTGAGGCTTCCTAAACTTCTGTCCAGGAGTGTACATGGCATAATCATGAAAAGGCCCGCAGACCTCCAGATGGTGTAAACACACAGAAGGAGCAAAGATTAGACATTCTAGGTGTCTAAAGCTGGTCCTTGCTACTGATTAACCTGTTATTTTGAACCTGCACAGAATTTTTTTCCCGCAGCTGTTATGTTCAGGAGAACGCATGTAGGGGTGGTTCCTAGGAGACCCTGTTGGGTATCAGAGAACCTCAAAGAGAGAAGTGTACTTTTGCCAATTTTCCACAGAATAGATGGCCATAGAAAGAAATCATGCAACAGCAAGCAAACCATGTAAGTGTAGCTAGCACATAAAACAATATTATTCTGCCGGTTCAAAATTATTTAAAATGCACTAGATGGAAGAAATGAAAAGAGTGGAATGATTGAAAGGGTGTCCTGGACAGGGGCGGACTGACCATTTGGAAACTCAGGCACTGCCCGAGGACCCGGGGTCAGTAGGGGCCTCATGAGATGCCCCTGGTACCTTTTTCATAGGCTTTTTTGAGTTTGGCCAAGGACACGGGGGCCCCATGATCCCCTATTGCCAGGGGGCCCCATGAGTTGTCAGTCTGCCCCTGGTCCTAGACCAATGAAGTGTATCGAGACACTGGATAACATGGAGAGTGGCCACATTATCTTTACCTGACTATAAATGTATATGCACCAATGCACTTTATTTTAAAGGTCTTCCATTCAAATCTGATGTTTTTATTGCTGCCAGATGTCGGTTTTTATCACATACACACCCAGGTAATACTACCTCTGTGCTTGAGCTATTAAATCCACTCACTATGAAGGTCCTGCTCTGCCTGGAGGGTTGGTTCATTTCAGAAATCATAAATTGTTAGTTTAAAGACCAGCATGAACTATGGTAAAGTTTTTAAGGTCACGGGTTATCTTTAAAGAACTGTTACACAGATAAGCTTCTCTATATTGTGAAAACACTGGCATGAAACTTTCTTTGGGATGGACTGGTTTCAGCTGACACATTGCTGGTAAAAAGACGTATGTGATTTCATGTACATTACTCATCCTAACCAGGCAGTATACCAGAGATAGGAGCTCATATTTACCCTAAATATACCCACTGCAACACAAGAGCAATTAGTGTGGTCTCACCTTTTCTCTCAGTAATGGCACTAGCTCCGCAGATCCATTGTTGGGAGTAGGTACTACTTTAGCGAATGTTGCAGTCTTTGGGTTTGGGTCCTGTGGAGAGATAAACACTGTTAACATCAATTCAAAGTCTGTAATTCCAGTCTATTTAAGAGCATAATTCACTATAATACAGGGCTTGACAAATTTGTTTTGAATCTAGGAGCCAGCTAAAAAAGTTAGGAGCCAGTTTTTTTTTTAACCACTTGCCTACTGGTTACTTTTACCCCGGGTTTCTGCCCATGCCAATTAGCAGCTTTCAGCGCTGTCACACGTTAAATGACAAATTGCACAGTCACGCAACACTGTATCCATATGAAATTTTTCTAAATGTTTTTTTCACACAGATAGAGCTTTTTTTGGTTGTTTTCGATCACCACTGTTTTTTTTATTTTATTATTATTATTATTATTATTATTATACAGTATTTATATAGAGCCAGAAAGGTTTGCTCAGCGCTGTACATTATAGTGGGGGACAGTACATGAGACAATACAGTAACAAAACAATACACGAGGGGTTCGAGGGCCCTGCTCTTTCGAGCTTACAATCTAGGAAGGAGGGGATAGTGGTACAGGAGGAAGTGGCTGTGGGGGATGGAATGGTAGGAGGAGTGGAGGAGATCGGCTGTTAGGGGAGGGCGGGGAAGGCTTCCCTGAAGAGATGGGTTTTCAGGGTGCGCCTAAAGGTTAGGAGAGTAGGTGACAGTCTGTTGGATTGGGGTAGTGAGTTCCAGAGGATGGGGGAAGTCCTGGAGAAGTCCTGCAGTTGGGCGTGGGAGGTGGAGAGCAGGGAGCTAGAAAGTAGGTCTTGTGAGGAGCAAAGATTATGGGTAGGGTTGGTATTTGGGTATCAGGTCGGTGAGGTAGTTTGGGGCAGTGTTATGAATGGCTTTGTATGTCTGTGTTAGTAGTTTGAATTTAAAGCGTTGGGCAATCGGGAGCCAGTGGAGGGAATGACAGATGGGGGTGGCAGAAGCGGAGCGGTTGGTAAGGTGGATGAGTCTGGCCGCTGAGTTCAGGATAGACTGAAGCGGGGATAGTCTGCGATGAGGTAGGCCGGTGAGAAGGGAGTTGCAGTAGTCCAGACGTGAGATAATAAGGGAGTGAACGAGTTGTTTAGTAGTGTCTTGGGTTAGGAACTTGCGTATTTTGGAGATGTTGCGGAGGTGCTGCCTGCATGAGTTTGCCAACGATTGGACATGGGGTTGGAAGGACAGGTTGGAATCTAGAATGACACCTAGGACTTTGGCTTGCGGGGTGGGACTGATGGTGGAGTTGTTGGTCGAGATGGAGAGTGGGGGGGCGCGGGCTAGGGGAAAAATCAGGAGCTCAAGGAGCGTTGGGATAGATAGGAGGAGAGCGCGGAGTCTCTGATGCCGAGGGAGTGTAGTTTATTGAGGAGGGGGTGGTCAACTGGGTCGAAGGCTGCGGAGAGGTTGAGGAGTAGGAGACTGACTGGGGTGGCCAGGTACCAGACCGCAGTTTCTAGTCACCATGGCTACCTGGCGCCTGGGATTTATTGATCCCTGCTCTAATATAACATCTTTTTATTATTGACAGACACGTATTAGTCAGGTTTAAAATCTGTACCTTATTTGTAGTTACTACAAGCACACGACAGTGTTTCCCAAACAGCCCGACTGGTATTACTGGCTGTACTGGTATTCACTGTAGGTGGCCAGGCTGAAAATGTAATGAAGGTCAAAACCCTAACTAGATAGTTTGTTTTCTAAAACACTATGAAAAATATAAAACTGCCATGTCTTATTTCCATTAAAAAATGTTCTACATTTTTTTCTCCCCCATCCTTTTTTTTTTTTTTTTTTTTTTTTTTTTTTTTTTTTAACATCTCAGCACTGCTAACCTCCCCGTGTTTTTCAGACCACTTCCTGCCTTTATGCAACACATCGCTCAGGACTGGCAATGGTGGACCAGGCCTGTGCAATGTGTGCCAACTGCTTTTTTCCTGGAGGGGTGCCTGTGACAAGACAACAATGCAGGAGCTCAACTGAGAGACCTTTGTCACTATATTAAGGCCTCATGCACATGAGGATTCTGAAAAAGCCCATTTGAATGCCAGAACTGCTGTCCAGATCATTACAGAGTCAGTCATTGTACTGACTGCTGTGAGGAAAACCATTAGTGCAGTCAGAACATCCTGCCGTAGTAATGCAGTGTATGGTAGTGCAGTAACTAGAGATTTAGAAATCTGCAGGAAAAAAAGCAGCTCATAAAGACTTGTGGTTTATAAAGTGAAGTCTATTGAGCATTCCTAATAGGATGCCCATCTCTGCACGCTAAGTAAATTGGATCCATTCCAAATAATGGCACGCAGGTGCCTGAACTTGCTTCATTACGGCATACTGTGTGAAACTCAAAGATATGCAGCCAATATAGTGCCTGGATTTGGACCCTTTACCCTTCCTAACACACTGGAGAATAAGAATACAACAGCCAACACATTTCAGGGGCCACAAACTCCTTCAGCCACCAACACTGAAACTTCAGACGATTTTGAACATGTAATATATACGTGAATACAGATTTTGTGTGCCTTTGAGTCTCCTTTGAATCCGTATAAGCCATTTAAATTTTTAGACCCAGATGGGGGGCTTGCGGCCCACAAAGCGTGAAATGTTTTTAGGTTGTTGCGATAGTTTTAGAACATTTTACACTATTAACCTTTGGCTTGGGGTTCCTGTTGTATCATTGTGCTTTGGGTTGTTTTCCTGGTACCAGTTACCTCACCTTTTTAGTGCATTTTCTTCACCCCTAACAAAGGAGAATTGAAGACTGAGCCCAGTTGGATAGGTTTTCTCTTAACATAGTGCAGGCCGGTCAGAAGCACCACCTTAGGGCAGCCAGTCATCAGAACACTGAACAAAGAATTCCAAATTACAAGATCAGTTCTGTTGACTTGGTAAGTTATATCAATGCAAAATGGAGTAGAGAGGAGGAAAGAGGAACTGGAGGACCCCCACAGAAGAGCAATCGCCATCACAGCAGATTCCCTAAGCTGCCTGATTAATGTTCCCTCCTTGGGCTGTCAGCAAGCAGGTATCTGACACAACAGATGAGAGATTGTCACTAAATCTGGTTGAAAATGGTCCAAGCACGGTCTGTCATTTAGAATCAGTATTAACTCCTTTATAGTGGAAGCAAAGTCAATCTTTATGTCTTACCTACATAAAAGCCTTTAATAAGTCTTACCTGTAGATACTGTAAATATCTCCTAAACATGCTCCGTTTAGATATTTAAGTTTGCAGTGCTGGTGACTAACACTAGTGCATGCGCACAACGGACAGTGAGCCGTCCACTGAGAGAACCGTGCCGCGGTCAAAACTTCCACACACGTGCAGGAGTGACGTCATCGCTGCTCGGCCAGTCACAAGGCCACAGCCTGTGAACCCAGAGGGAAGACCGGGTGAAGATGGAAGCCTCAACAACGCTCTACTGGAGGGCTTCATTTTCAATAAGTCTTTCATAATGTGCTAGCATGTGATGCATACTAGCACAAAATGCTCTTAACTGCTTCCCGATCGCCCTATAGCAGAAGTACTGCCACAGGGCAGCAGGATGTGCAAAATCACGTGTATATATATGCGATTTGCATTCTCTGGGCGGGAGGGGGGGGCGCTTGCGCACTCCCTACCTGCACCGCTATTGACTCCTCGGCATATCAATCACTGGGTCCCAGCCGCTGATTCTCAGCAGGGACTCTGTGATCATCGGCGGAGCTGACAGGTGAGAGGTCTGTATGTACACACAGATCTCTCCCGTCAGCATGAACAGGCCGCTTTGTATTGCTCTGCACATCAGAGCTTGTCTACATAGTAAAACACACACAGCACACTATGAAAAACACAACAGCACACAGTTAACCCTTTGATCACCCCAAATGTTAACCCCTTCCTGCCCAGTGTCATTAGCACAGTGTCAGTGCTTTTTCTTAGCACTGATCACTGTATTGGTGTCACTGGGGATGTCAGTGGTAGTCAGTTCCTACTCCCAGTGTCAGAATTCCTGCTGCAGTCCTACTATAAGTCGCTGATTGCTGCCGTTACTATTATTATTATACAGTATTTATATAGCGCCAGGAGGTTTGCTCAGCGCTGTACATTATAGTGGGGGACAGAACATGAGACAATACAGTAACAATACAAAACACGAGGGATCCAAGGGCCCTGCTCTTTCGAGCTTACAATCTAGGAGGATTTTACTGGATATGTTTTATAGCAAAAAGTCAAAATATATATATTTCTCAAAATTGTAAGTTTTTTTTTGTTTATAGTGCAAAAAATAAAAACCGCACAGGTGATCAAACACCACCGAAAGAAAGCTTTATTTGTGGGAAAAAGGACATAAATTTCATTTATGTACTACATAGCATGACTGCGCAATTGTCAGTTAAAGGAACGCAGCACCGTATCGCAAAAAAAGTCAGGAAGGGGGGGTAAATCATCTAGAGGGCAAGTGGTTAACTTGCAGGGAGAAGATTTTTTTAGATTTTTTGCAGTTTACCACCGCTTTAATTCAATCCTTTTTAGGTTAAAAATATTACTTAATAGGCATTCTCCCAACTCATTCCAAAACCAATACTCATTTATAAAGTGCTACTAAACCCATGACTGTATATGCAGTAAAGCATGCTTGTTATACTCACTGTGCAACCTAAGGGTTTAATCCTCTGCATTGTGTAAAAAGGCTGTTTGATCCTGTCTTCTCTGCACCCCTCCCCCATTCTTCCAGTCCCCAATCCATCTGCTAATAGTACAGAGCCCTAGAAGGCACTCTGCACATGATCACTGGTGTGCATTGCTAGAGTGTCTTTTTTTTTTTTTGGGGGGAGGGTGCAAGTGATCGGCGCAGGGCCAATCAGCACTGTCTAAAAAGAGGATTAGGGGTGATGCAGTCTCATAGGGCAGTCAAACGAGAATGAAAACTCCTCCTACAAGCTTTAACCAGTACTCGGCTGGACACTGATAGAAGTCACAAGACAGCTCTAACTGCTGATGAGAAAAGGTATTTAGCAGTTTATATTTACTAAAATA